ACACACACACACACACACACACACACACACTGCTCTTATGAATAGATGCCCACTGCAGGTCACTGAAACATGGGCCACGTTTGCCCATAACGCTAAGCCAAACCATGGTTTAGCAGGAACCCGCAAACATGCTGGCTTCTGGGGAGATTGCTGCTACTTTGCCCCCCCCCCCAGCACTTTCAGCTCAGTATGATAGGTAAACCAATTTTTGGCTTAGCGTGTCATTGAAATCCAGCATTGTGGTTAACCTTGATAACCATGAACTGTAGCTAAAGTTTGTTTCTGTCTACAGATTGTGGTTAAGGAGAAGAATTCAGCCACAATCTCTGATTTGGATAACTTGTTGGCATCCGTCTGCCTCGAGAGACAAAGGAGAAGTGTGTCTTTGGAGATGAAGCCAAACTGCTGGCAAGTTACAGAGCCTGCTGTGGCTGTAGAGACCAACAGAGGAGAGACATGTTTTGTTGCAGCCGAGGCTGTTGTGCTGCTGCAGATGCACTATGGTGTTTCTTCTCTCTGTGCTCCTCCCAGCAGTCATTCCTCCTCTGGTCACTGTTATGGATACACAACCTGACTGTCTTTCTCCAGGCACTGTGGTCGTCTGCAAGGGATTCCCACATGATGAGGTTGATGTTGTCAGCCTTCACGTCACGTTTGCAGACATCTTTGTAACACAGTTGGTCTGACACACTGGGCCAAACCTTGGTTTAGCTGTGCACCATACTGAGCTAAAAAGACCGGGAAGGAAAAAAGCAGCTGGGAGGCAGCACATTCACATGGTCCCAGCAGGCTATAGTTTGGCTTACCGTAACATGTGAAGACTAAGTACCTTGAAAATGAAGGATCTCCCGTTTGGACTACTGCAATGCGCTCTACGTGGGGCTACCTTTGAAGGTGACCCGGAAACTACAACTAATCCAGAATGCAGCAGCTAGACTGGTAACTGGGGGCGGCCGCTGAGACCACATAACACCGGTCTTGAAAGACCTACATCGCCTCCCAGTATGTTTCCGAGCATAATTCAAAGTATAGGTGTTGACCTTTAAAGCCCTAAACAGCCTTGGCCCAGTATACCTGAAGGAGCATCTCCACCCCCATCGTTCTGCCCGGATGCTGAGGTCCAGCACTGAGGGCCTTCTGGCAGTTCCCTCATTGCGAGAAGCAAAGCTACAGGGAACCAGGCAGAGGGCCTCCTTGGTAGTGGCGCCCGCCCTGTGGAACGCCCTCCCATCAGATGTCAAAGCGATAAACAACTACCTGACATTCAGAAGACATCTTAAGGCAGCCCTGTTCAGGGAAGTTTTTAATGTGTGACATTTTAGTGTATTTTTGGTCTCTGTGGAAGCTGCCCAGAGTGGCTGGGGAAACCCAGCCAGATGGGCGGGGTACAAATAATAAATTATTATTATTATTATTATTATTATTATTATTATTATTATTATTCCTGGTAATGAACCACACAACACTCATTCATGCAACGAGGAGTGAGATGCCTACATAGTTTACAACTAAAGAACTTTACCAAAGCGTTCTGTGTAAATGATGTAGATAAGGATGGGGGACCTAAGGCCCTCCAGATGTTGCTGGACTTACAAGTCCCATCTGTTCCAGTCTACATGGCCAATAGTTGGGGATGATGGGGAATGCAGGCCAAGAACAATTTGGAGGGCCACAGGTCCCCTATCCTTGCTGTAGATCAGGGGCCGGCAACCTAAGGCCCATGGGCCACAAGCCGCCCACGGGAGTCATTTAACTGGCCCATGAGCCACTCCTGAACTGAGTCATCCACTCAGAGAGTCCCCACATGCTGCGCTAAACTCAGAGAGTCCCCACATGCTGCGCAGATTCATCTTCACGGTGCCAGAAATCGCATCTGTGCAGACGCCGGAATTTGTGGGGGCTCATGTGGTCCAGCCCACGGAGGGATCTCCACTGGAGTGAACTGGCCCAGGCAAGGGAAACCTTGCCGACCCCTGCTGTAGATCATTGATAGGGTGGTAGGACCCTAGCACTAATACAACCATACAACTGGTGCCATCATGTAAGTGCCAGCACCGATTCTAAGTCTATGGCTGGCACGAAGGCAGTGGCCTGTGCTGCTGCTTCTACATTGCTTTGGGTACAGGTGTGACAGGGCTGCAGATCCATCACATGCTCCACCTCCCTTTCACGATGTCCCACAAGTCCACCTACTGGGTCCTGCGCCACATGACGTAACACAGTCTTGGGAGAGCACTGTATCAGACCTCCCTTTCTTCACATCCACAACAGCTTCCATCAGAGCCTAAAGTTGTATTACAGCCCTCCACTTCTTTCCAGACCGAGGAAGAGAGAGCTTCCCCAGATATCCCAGCATAGTCGCTCCTCTCTCACAAAGTGAAACTAACCTGTACAAAAGCCCCAATTAATCTAGTAAGGGCAAGCCTTCACGGATATAAAGATCACATGCATTTCTTCAGCACGGGAAAGAAATAAGGTCAGTGTTTATTTTCTCAGACATCGCCATAAATTAACCTGTCCTGGCATATCAGATTTCTCACAGAAGCGTGGGCGCTTAGATCTCTAATGGAATTTATACAATGCCAGCTATTCATTTCTATTTATTTTCCACGATTGGTTTAGTAATTCAGCTTCCAGCAAAGGCTGGAAGTGATATTCCTCCTGGTTCTGTTTTATTCAGGAATAAACATATATGGCATTAGGCGAGTAATGCTACTGGGTAGAAATATTTTTAATTTTTTGGCTATATTTGATCAACAAATCCAAGCTAAAGCAAACAAATTGGAAGATGAATCATAGTAATGCCTTTGTCTCTGTATTTATTTCCCCTTTATTCGGTTTTGCAGTGATTGCCCACTATGGAAAACCTCCCCCCCCCCAATTTTTTTAAGAAAGAGAAAGAGAGAGAGAGAATGAGAACAAACTTTTGAACTGCAATTGGCTTTTTGGTCTAACCTAGGCCTAGGCACTATGTCCCCTTTCCCCATTTATCAACATAAACTGATTCAATGGCTTGCTGATGCTGAAGCTTATACTGCCATCTTGCAACAGAATAATACCAAACACTTTAGAACAGAAATAAGAATGGCGGCAGCTGAATAAGATATGCAAATACTTGCTTCCACACACACACATATATATATCCACCCATAGCTCACAGCTAAAAAATCCATTTATTTTGCTTCGTGAAATAAAATGGTAACTCAATAATACTCAAATTACCCAGTTCACTGTATACTTAAACTTAGAGGCCCAATTAGCCAGCAGCTGGAATTCAATCACCCTGCTTTTGCCTGCAATTTTAGACAACGATTTCAAGAGTGGAAAGGATTCTTTTTTTAAAAAAAATGTGGAAAGTTGTATATTTAATTTCACATTTGCACTGCTGACTTGCCGTACACATTATTGACTATCTAATTAACACTCGGAAAGCCTGCATTTGTTCTTCCAACAGAACTGGAGAGAGAGAGAGAGAGAGAGAGAGAGAGAGAGAGAGAGAGAGAGAGAGAGAAGAGGCTTCCACCCATTTAACCACACTACTCGCATTTCATCTGATTACTGGATACAGTTGTGCAACTTACTCATTAACCTGATGCCTCCGAGTCTCTGTATGATTAAGGAAAAACTAGAAATCTTCAAGCAATAAAAACTGACAGCGAAGTTGACCCTCAAATGTATTCTCTCTCCCAATTTTCCTAATTAGCCTCCTTTCCTTAGTCCCACTACTCTCTCTAATAATGGATCTCTGCTCAGCCTGGCTGGTGATTAAGATAACTACGCTCGGCCCCAGATGTTACAAGAACAGCCTAGCTGTCTCCCTCAGGACGAGAGCCCAGTTTGCAGAAATGCTGAGCCTTAAAACCCGTTTCCTGCAGCCCCCCTTAGGTATTTATCCTGCCACTTTTTTTTTCCAGGCCACTGTCTTTGCATATTAAAATTATGGCACAGATTATAGAAAGGATGGAGGAGGAATCCCTCCCCCATTTGTCTCTTCTTTGCAGAACACATGATATCAGCATTAATGTGTTACTTGATATATAACAAGTTGTTAAGCTGGCAAGTAGCTTGGGTTTGTGAGGTTGGAAAAGAAAAGAGGACTGAAAAGGGGGTGGTGGAAATGGAGGCAGAGAAACTTGACTAATTTCACAAACCACAAATCATGAATAAAATAAATCAAAGATTCCCCACTCCCTTAACGCCCCCCCCCCACATATTCAGAAAAGTTGATTGCATGAACAAGAATAGACCACAGGCAAACAACCAGAATTTAATCACAGGGCAACCAAGCATCTTACTCAATTTTACTTTTTAAAATTTTATATATATAAATGTAAAGCTAAAGGTAAAGGTACCCCTGCCCATACGGGCCAGTCTTGACAGACTCTGGGGTTGTGCGCCCATCTCACTCAAGAGGCCGGGGGCCAGCGCTGTCCGGAGACACTTCCGGGTCACGTGGCCAGCATGACAAGCTGCATCTGGCGAGCCAGCGCAGCACACGGAAACGCCGTTTACCTTCCCGCCAGTAAGCGGTCCCTATTTATCTACTTGCACCCGGGGGTGCTTTCGAACTGCTAGGTTGGCAGGCGCTGGGACCGAGCAACGGGAGCGCACCCCGCCGCGGGGATTCGAACCGCCGACATTTTGATCGGCAAGCCCTAGGCGCTGAGGCTTTTACCCACAGCGCCACCCGCGTCCCCCATTTGATTGCCCTTTTTACCCATTGCTGTCTTTTTGTATTTGTATATATTTTATCTGTATATATTGCTTGCTTTATGTTGCTATGGCCGTTGGCTAACGCGAATAAAGTTTATCTGTCTACTTCCCAAATCTGTATGACATAACACTATCCAAAACCGTGCCAATCTTTTTGTAAAATTCCATATCCTTAACCAGAAAATTCGTCATCTTTAACTAGAACGTGGTGCAGACATCACAACATCTGGGTAAGTAAGTAACTGATCGAGCCAGTGGCCTGCTGAACTTCAGCAAGTTTTACTTACGTCCAGAGAATCTTCATTCACAAGGATGAGAGTCATACTCTGGGACACGAGCCTGCAGGAATATCCTGGGGAAACAAATAACAAACCAGACACAGTGGGGCGTCAGTGTCACTTTCTTCTTAACCGTCACAACAAACAAGTTCAACATCAGAAAGAAAACCGTAAGAACATAAGAAGAGCCACCTGCTGGATCAGGCCTCCATTCTGCTCCCACAGAGGCCAATCAGATGCTTTTGGGAAGCCCCAGTCAGTAAAACCCACACACCCTGCTCCTGCAGTTTCCACCTGTTGGGGTTTTTGACTAGGTGCTATCTGATGCAGCTTCCCACAGAAGCAGTTAAGGAGTTGGCCAAAGGCCAAGAAGACTGAGCAGAGGGAGTTATTCTGCCTAGAGATATGGGACCTTGGATACAACTCTGCTATTGGTCGAGGTCTCCACATAGGCATGACGACTCATGACCTTCCTTTTTGGTTAGTTGTTGGTCAGTGTGTGGTTTGAGAGTTCGTTTGGAGTTTGCTCAGTGAGAGAGTTAAGATCCGTGTCTGTATCCTGTATATAGTAATTTGCGACTCTGCTGTAAATAATAAACCTATAAGTAACCAAGTTACTAGTAGCAGGGTTTTGTTCCTGCTTCATCCTGCCTGCAACTGACTGCTTCTGGACAGTCTGCCTATGTTCTGCTATATTCAACAGGTTCTGGCTAAGATTCCTCAACACCACCAACTGGTAAAACCCCCATGATGAAAAAGTGGGGAAGGGAAGAGAACCTGCTTTGCACGTAGAAGGTGTCTTTCTGAGTGTCTTTCCCAGCTGGAATAAACTGCATTTATAGAATAACACACTGTGCATGCACACGAAAGCTCATACCAAGAACAAACTTAGTTGGTCTCTAAGGTGCCACTGGACATCTTTATATATATATACAGTGGTACCTCGGGATGCGAAAGGGATCCGTTCCAGAGCCCCGTTCGCATCCTGAATAGAACATAAGACGCGACGGCGCATCTGTGGGTTGCGTTTTGCCGCCTCCGCGCATTCGCCGACGTCATTTTGAGCATCTGCATGAGCGGCGAAACCCGGAAGTAACGCGCTCCATTACTTCCGGGTTGCCACGGAGCGCAACCCAAAAGCACTCAACCTGAAGCACATTCAACCCGAGGTATGACTGTATATATACAGTATTTCGACTACGTCAGACCAAAACAGCTACCTACCTGAATCAGTTGGTATGAGTTGTGTATTTTAATGACTGTGCCATTTTATAAACACCCCTCAGAACTACCCGTGTATAAGATGAGCCCCAATTTTAAACCTAATTTTTTGGTTAAAAAAAAACCCCTAGTCTTATACACAGAAAAATACGGTAATTAATACAAAGTTAAGAGTTTTGGATTTGATATCCCGCTTTATCACTACGCGAAGGAGTCTCAAAGCGGCTAACATTCTCCTTTCCCTTCCTCCCCCACAACAAACACTCTGTGAGGTGAGTGGGGCTGAGAGACTTCAGAGAAGTATGACTGGCCCAAGGTCACCCAGCAGCTGCATGTGGAGGAGCGGAGACGCGAACCCGGTTCCCGAGATTACGAGACTACCGCTCTTAACCACTACACCAAACTGGCAAATCTGCAATACACTCTTTTTAGGAAGTAAGACCTATTCAACAAAGCAGGGCTTAAGTAAACATGCAGAGGACTGCAGTGCTCAAGCCCTATTAAATGCTTTTTAAAACTTATAGCAATTTTCTTGATACAACAGGGTGTAGATTTGCAGATGAGAAGATTTCAACAAGTGTAGCTTGTATGGGAAGGTAGAATGAGGACCTTAGCATTTAAGTTTCATTCCCCCCCCCCAAAAAAAACCTGACATGTCCATAACATATGAACATGGTATAAAATGCAGTCTCAAAACAAGCACAACTTCAAACCGTAAGTTATGAAGTTGGCTTGCTACATTAACTAGAGTTTTGTTTTGTTTTTGAGCTATGATCCCTGGTTTGTATGTTAACTACAAGCCAAGTTTCATGGAAATGGAAACTAAACTGTCAGTGTCCTGCTCTTGGTGACTCCTCCTTGCTTTTGCACATACCCAAGCCATGGTTTAGTGTTGCACACAACGTCAGCCACTGTTTCTAGCTAGAGTAAGCCAAGAGAAGGGGGTACGATTTTTGAGAGCTAACTAAGTTGTTCCTGGGACAGGGAGAGTCTGCTACCTTGAAATAGTTTTCTTTCATTTGTGGCCAACTTGACCATTTGTAAATAAAGCACATATTATGAAACTCTAAGTCTTGAGTGCTCCCTCATGCAAAACTAAGCAAACTCTGTAACATTACCCAATGTTTAGACAAAAGGAGAGCAAAGTATTTTAAAAGTATTTTACATAAAATGAATCGCCTCGTATAAAAGTTGTGCATGAAGCTTTACTGGTATTCCACATAGAATGTTCTCACTAAAGAAAAAATAGTAACAAATTAAACTGAGCATGTTCTTATAAATCTTTAGAGAAAAACTTGGGGCAAAATGATTGCGAGTTGTTAAGACTTTTACATCTATGGAGCAGAGTAAAGTGAGATTCCTTAAGTATCTACTAAAAAAAGAGAAGTCCTACAAGCTATTTTTAAATTCCTGAATGTTATTTAGTAATAATAGTAATAATAATAATAATAATGCTGCAGCATGCAAAGCTCCATTTTATTTTAAAATTTCACTGAAAAATAAAGAGGGATATCTTACAGCTTCAGCCATTACTCTCCAAGTTGGGCATAGCCTGTCCTCAGGGAATGACTGCAGCCCTAAACGGTTACAAATTTAGTATAACTAATTCAAAGGGATTTTCTGCTGGTTTTTGATTGGAACAACAGCTGCAACACTTCAAAGCAATTTCCAAGCTGCTGCTTGCTGAACCTTTCAGATTCAGCAAGACACCATTTGACAACTGGAGCCGGGGAGCTGAGTGCTGAATAGCAGCAAAAAGTTATACTGGATTCCTCAGTGATTAGCAGGATCCAACAGTCATGCAAGTGAATTCAGATGAGGGTGTGCTTTCAAATTCTCTAAAGACATGTGCCCATGGGGAGCTCACTTAGAGACCCTGCATTGAGTTGAATGGTCATATTGTAAGATGCTTTAGATCTTGGGGATGTGTGCAACAAAATACAAATGCATTATATCCTGTGTCACTATGGTAGCTCAACAGATGAGGCAACCACTGGCCTGCCAGCCACTGGATGTCATGAATGCAGACAGACAGCCACCAGGTCATGTGAAGTGGTCAGGTGATGTAAGGAGCCAATGAGATTTTATATCAACCTATAATACAAGGGTGATGAACTCCCCCACCCCAGATCTTTCTCTCTCCCCTCACTGGCCAGTTTTGACAGGTGGGCAGGGCCACACAACTGTCAATTATCTGATGTCATAATCACACGTGGTGACTGATAGGTGGTCCCATCCACCTGTCAATGTCAGCTTGCAGAGGAATGCACTGGCAAAGCAGCACCAAGCAGGACTGAACTCTCCACTCATCAGGGGATTGCTTGTCAAGAGCTGGCGGAATGCCAATGTTGATGCCGCCTCTTATATTTCTGCAGGAATAGCATTCCCTCCCATGTTACCACAAGCTGATAATCACCAGACTGTGGCAAAACTAAATGAGTTTCCACTTGCTGATCTTGATGCCCTCGCAGGGCAGTGGAGGAGAGGACAGTCTTTCAGTTAACCAGGCCCAGAGTTGTTTAGGGCTTTATACGTAAGTAGCAGGATCTTAAAACTAATCCAGTGGCTAACAGGCAGCGAGTGAAGATCCCTTAGCACAGACATAATGTGCGCCTGATCAGGAGCACAACTCACCACCTGGGCCACAGCATTCTGCACTAGAATGTTTAGGGACACAGCAAAGGAAATTAGAAGAGCCCGCTGGATCAGGCCAATGGCCTCTCTAGTCCAGAATCCTGTTCTTACAGTGGTCAACCAGATGCCTGTGGAAATCAGCAAGCAGGATTCGAGCACAAGAGCTCTCTTCCCTCCTGTGGTTTCTCTGTCACTTGGGCTGACTAAGCAAAATAATGTGGCAATACTTTGCATACCGTGTGCAGGGGTGCATGCTGGGGGACGTCGACATCATGAATTAACTGGTTCCCTCCATGTGGGGGGTAGCCCATAGGCATTTTCTGCAGCACAGTCTCTGACTGGTGGGCTTTGGAGGAGCTTCCAGGGGTGCTGAGAGAGTACAGCGGATGCTCGGGTTGCGAACATGATCCGTGCGGGAGGCACGTCCGCAACCCGCAGCGTCCGCAACCCACAGCGCCACATCTGCGCATGTGCGGGTTGTGATTCGGCGTTTCTGCACATGCGCAAAGTGCAATTTAGCACTTCTGCGCATGCATGAGTGCTGAAACCCGGAAGTAACCCATTCCAGTACTTCCAGGTTTTGGCGCATCCGTATCCCGAAAACGCACAACCTGAAGCGTCTGTAACCCAAGGTATGACTGTATCTGCCTTTTTTTCCACCATTTGCTCAGTTTCTGCATTGTATTCTCCTTCTAGGCTGAACTGGTTACAGGGTACAGCAGCCATTCCAGTGACATAGGAGCAGCATAATATCTGCTCGCTCTGTGTGTGTGTGTGTGTGTGAGAGAGAGAGAGAGAGAGAGAGAGAGAGAGAGAGAGACTGCTCAGTAAATCATCTGTTCCCATTGCATTAAGATCAGTGCAGAAAGCCCTCTGTGATCTGTTTTGTCCTGCCTCTGAAAATACATTTACATTTTTCTGTGCTGTGGTAAAGAAACAAAGTGCATATGATTTATCGAGGCTGCATCTGAAATGCCACTTTTAGTCGGAGAAGTCAATTTTAAATGTAAATAGAGAGAATTACTGGCTGTCCAAAACTCCACCGAGCTTAATGCAAGTGAAATCACAGAATACCAGAGCTTTGCTGTTAAAAGCCTATCTTAAATAACTAACAGTCAACCAACAATACGTACTGACTTGAAAGTCACAAAAAGTTAAAGGTCTAGGTGCACAAGCACATTTGAAATTAAAACTGAGTATGTATAAAGATGGAACAGAACAGAGTGAAGTGGTATAAGTCAGGTGTAGTTGAATGATAATGTAGGTTTCAGCAATTTGTGATTTATTTTTAAATCCTCATGAAAACAATTACAGTGGTACCTCGGGTTAAGTACTTAATTCGTTCCGGAGGTCCGTACTTAACCTGAAACTGTTCTTAACCTGAAGCGCCACTTTAGCTAATGGGGCCTCCTGCTGCTGCCGCACAGCCGGAGCACGATTTTTGTTCTCATCCTAAAGCAAAGTTCTTAACCTGAAGCACTATTTCTGGGTTAGCGGAGTGTGTAACCTGAAGCGTATGTAACCTGAGGTACCACTGTATTCGGCATTTTAGTGTGAATTTCTCCCAATGAACACATTTTTGTCTGCAGTTTTAACTAACCTACACATTTTTCCAAGCAACTTCTCCCTATATAATGAATTTTGGTACATTGTTTTCACTAATTTATTCATTTTTGTACACATTTTCCCCTAGTACATGCACTTTTGTTGGAGAACCACATCAGAAAAATTAGAAAAGTGGAAATTTTGAAGAATGGTTGTTTCGATTCTTTGGAAAGTGAAAATCGGATGATTTTTTGCTTTAAATCAAATTCCTTCCCCGTTATGACACACAAGGGTTTCAGTCTCAAAGGAAAGTTCTGCAAGGAGATTAGTGCACGTTCTCTAGTCTGGGCAATAAGGAAATCTGCCCTTGCGGAAGACAGAGCACATCCATTTTGCTCCACCTCCCTGCACCCAGATTTCACAATTAGGAGCCTGTGCTTCTTATCTCTTACTCATTTAATGAATTAAATGAAAGGGTCAAAGCAATGCAATGAATGAGCCACACTGCTCAAGCCACCAAATCTTGTGAGTTGTATTCAACAAAGTTGTACTCAGAGTAGACCCAATAAAATTAATGCACTTAAGTTAGTCATGCCCATTAATTGAAACGAGTGTGCTTCACCAGGTGACTAATGTTGGATAGAGCCCTGTGATCCAACACGTTGCACAGGGCCACCTTAGTAGAAAAGCTGAAGGGTTGTTACCTATGTTCAGAGCTGTTTCTTGTTTGTCTCCTGTTAGGACCCAAATCTTGATTTCTGCTTTTATTAACGTGGATATCGTTTCTGGAACACCTGCCTGAAGGCGGTCCTCAATGGCCGTAGCACCAAGAAGCAGTAAATCCTGAAAAGGGATGGAAGAGGGGAGAAAAGAATTGGGAGGTCTCATTCTTCTGGGATCAATCTCAGCTTGGACCATGCTCAAAAACAGAAATTAATGACAGCAAGCTGTGCCTTATCCTTTCTACTACCCACCCTTCAACAAGATATGTATGGCGCAGTTAACTTTCGCTGCTCCTCTGGCATGAAAATTGGACATTTCAGAGTGCATAAAAGGACCAGGCACTTTGATCAGAAGGAGGGCAATGATTCAAAAGCAATTAATTGTAATTGCAACTTTAAAAGATAGCCAGTGGAGAGGTCCATGCACCAGTTGCCATAGCAACATTCTTAATAGCCTTAATTGGTATATTTCTTAAGTTCAGAAAACAGAGGTTGCATGGCATCGTGTCGTTAAATATACTTCCTGCTTTCAAAATATACCTACAAAGTGGATGCAATCATCCGAAAGTAAAACTGTTAATTGACCTGATCATGTCCCACTTTGGAAGCACAAATGTCATGACCATCCATTTATCTTCCCATCTCTATATATCCTACAGATGTATATATACTCCGAAAAAAGGAAAAAAAACCCCAGAAATCCTAAGGAAGTTCGCTCAGGAATAAGTCCCACTGAACTCTGTAAAACTTGCTTCTAAGTAAATATTCTTAATATCAAGAGGCACACAGCATTTGCAATTGTAAAATGCACTGGCTCTAGTATATTCTTAACCAGGGACGCGGACTTATAAAAAATATTGGGGGGGCCCGGGAAAGCTCATGAATAATAAATAAGCTCATGAATATGCAAATAAAGTGGCGCCGCCTCCTCGTGAGCGAATAGGGGAGAGCGTGCTGCGCCTATTAATCAGCTCCGGAGCGGAAATTGGGTGGAGCTTTTGCTCGGGAGGGAGGGCAGGAGGCATGCAGCCCGATCCTGTGCATTTTGGGCTGGGGGAGGGGCGGTGATGGCGCTCTGCTGGAGGGGCGCCGGAGATTATTGGGGGGGCGGAGCCCCCCCCCAAACGAATTTTTGAGGGGGCTCGGGCCCCCTCAAGCCCCATGGAGTCGGCGCCTATGTTCTTAACTTTCCTGAAGGTTTGGGGCGACTGCTGTAGAAATGTAAACAGATAAGACAGACTAAGTATCAGCCCCTGTGTCAGAAATGAACTCCGTCTAACTTAATGAGACTTTCTGCCTTGTTTAGAACCGAGTGCCCAGTCTTTCGTAAACAACATTTGTCAAAATCCATAATCATAGATTTAAGTGCCCTTTGTTTAAAGGCTACATATTTTGAATTTTGGGAAAGAGAAAGGAGCAAATAACAGAGCAGTGCGTTTTCATAAACAGCAGATCTATGTATTCAATCAGCATGTGACACTTTTTGCAAAAACAGGAATTATATGTGTGGCTCCAAATCAAACATGCAACTCAGCAGATAATTTAAGAGATTTCAAATGAATTTTGCACAAGTTGTTAACAACCGAAGAGAAAATATTTTTAAATGTATGCTGGGGAGGAAACCTTTTCAGTTTTGATGCAAAGATTGCTGACATCCAAATTAAACAAAACATTCAACTGCAGGAATGCAAAAATTAAGGGGGCTTAATTGTGATGAAAATTGGTTGACTTTTTAATCATGAGAAAGAACAGAAATCATAACAACAGAATCCACACTTTTACTTACCCAACTGTCTATCTCAAAGTCAGGCAGTATTTATGGATATTCCATGCTTGCTTTCTCCATCTGTTTTTGGACTACAATTTCCATCATCCCTATCACTGGTCCTGCTACCTAGAGATGATGGGAACTGTAGTCCAAAAACAGATGGAGACCCAAGTTCAGGAAACCCTGCTCTAAACTAGAATGCGCCAAATGCTGCAAACTTTCATTATAGGAGAGCAAAGAGGCTGAAATTGCCTCACCAGGAGCCTGTGCAATCATGCTAAGCCACAGTTGGCTTAGCGTGACTTGTGAACCAGGCCAACATTACGTTGAAATCTTGCTGTACTTCTATGAAGTGATAACAATTCTTGTTCATATTTTGTTAAGGAAACACTCTACTTTTGCAGGAAACACATAGATTTTTTTTTTATTTTGGTGGGGGGGAATATTCAAGGGATCTGAAATTAACACATCTGAAATGCTTCCAGTCAAACAGAATGGATGCACTGCTTTGTAAAGTTTAGTCTACTTCATGGGTAGGCAAACTAAGGCCCGGGGGCCAGATCCGGCCCAATCACCTTCTCAATCCGGCCCGCGGACGGTCCGGGAATCAGCATGTTTTTACATGAGTAGAACGTGTCCTTTTATTTAAAATGCATCTCTGGGTTATTTGTGGGGCATAGGAATTTGCTCTTTTCCCCCTCCCCAAAAAATATAGTCTGGCCTCCCACAAGGTTTGAGGGACAGTGGACCAGCCCCCTGCTGAAAAGGTTTGCTGACCCCTGGGACTCTACTTGCTATTGGCAAAATTTGCAAGTGGGAGAGGATTCGGCTGTAAGCAACTCAAAACTATGTCTCCTAGTTACCTTCTCAATGATCTCATAGCACTCCTCCAGCTTCTGATTTCTGTCCTTCAGGTTTGTGCTGGCTTCATTATAGATGGTCAGCCAATCCCGGTAAGCGTTTTCCGATAGGTCTGCATATGCAATGCACAGAGTCCTCAAACCTAAAAAGGCAATGTAGGTATTGGTAGAGGGAGAAATTTGATTCAGCTCACATTTAAAGGCAAACCGACCTAATTCCCACTTTCCAAAACAATATGTGGGCCCAAGATAGCAATCCTTCCAAATTTTGCAGTGCACTCCTCCAGCCATGTAATACATACAAGAATGCAAAGAATTGGGTGCATAAAAGTGAAAATAACAATAAAATGCATTCTATTAGGGAATACTGCTTTACCAAAAAGTATATATTAGGTTAAAAAGTTGTATACAAAATGTGTGTATTAGGAGAACTCTGCCCTACAATATCAATGTGATTTTTTTAGGAATGGCAACTTTAACACCGTCACACAGCTTTCAATTTTAAAAATAAATTACTATACTACAATATATTTTAAAATTAAATTGTGACGTCACAGAAACATGACATGAGGTAGTTGAATAGCTTCACATTAACTGCCCAACTGCAAATAACATAATGCTCTGTAGCTCCTTTTAATGGACACATGTAATTTGCACCGATGTTGACACAGGTTAACCATGCACAGTAATCTGAAGAACAGGCCCCTTTGGAATATGAACAGCATTATTTTTATGAGACTTCTGATAGAATTTAGCATACATAAAAATAAGGATTTCTCTTCTGGCACAAGTGAACCAGAAGAAGGAGAGAGCATGCCATATAAAACAGAAGGACAATATTATTGCGGGAGTGGGAGTTCCCAGGAAAAAAGAATTTGTGTGGTAGGGAGAGATTTTCAGGCATGGGAAGGAATACGTTTTGCAGCAACATGGTATCATAAAAGGAACATAGTCCACTGCCCAGGTTGCTCTACCTCAGTAATGTCCCATTAGCAATGAAATAAGAGACAGGTATATTTGATTTCATATAGCAAACTTGTAGGGGCAGCTACTGCATCTTAAGGGAACACAACAGAAGTGCGGGCAGTAGGATCCAAGTTCATTTTCCGTTTTCCTAAACATTTACAACAGAGGTGCCACACGTCACCTCTCCTTCAAACTTCTTTGTTCTGTCCCCCCACCCCCACCCATGACTCATTTCAGAAACACTCTCCCAACTTGCTAAACAAAGGTATTAACGCCAGTTGAGAGCTAGGAGACTCAGTTAATGTTGCTTCTGTGGTACTGCTCCACTCCAATTGATCTTCTGTTTCACACCTCTTTAAACAAGATTGCAATCTTGATACACTCCTTTTCACCCAAGGAATGTTTTGCCTCTGGCTTGAGTTGTATGCCTGGGACTCTTGTAGATTCCCCAATTCAGCATCTCTTTGGCTGGAGACAGATTATAGTGGGGATGTTCTTTTAAAGGTGGCTGAAAATGGTATGGGGTGGCAGAACTGCCTTTAGTCCATGCAGACGCTTCCTTGGTCCCACAGTGTTTATGTCTATGTCTGGTCACACCATTTTGCAATCAGCAAAAGCAGAGGAGATCCCTCTGGCTGTTTATATCATGAGACAGAATGTGTCTATCAGACCACATTCAGCAGGTGTGGGAACAATCTTCAACTTGTATTTCCTCTCTCAATTCTGCCCATGTTCGATACATATGGCATGTGAAACTATATATGGCACTATGTTGATGCTCAAATCTGAATCCTTAACAGAAGAACCAAGCCCAAACCCCACTTCCTCATTAAAAAAAACAACAACCCCTTGTCCACCACATTCTTTCCTTCCATCGAACTAGGGGATGACAGTTCTTGCTAAGGAATCTATCCATTTTGGTTTCTCCCAATTTCTCATTTTTCCAGCCTGCTGAAAACAAATGCCTACCTTCTGTAGCAAAATAGTCAAGATGACACAGTGTTTGCTCCAAATACAGGGAATTTTTGGAGAGTCTCTCGAAAATGACGTTATCCTACCAACAAGAAAGAACATAGATAAAACACGGGTCTATAAATGCATTTTATAATGCCTATTTAAGACCTTTATATCCTTTATAGCCTGCCTTTCCAGGGTGCTTGAGGTGGTTCAGGTAACAAGTGGGACACTTTATAATTAAAAGGAAGGTAGCAGCATTGACCCACAAAATAATAAGCTGTGGACATACCTAGAAAACAAACAAACAAACAAACAAACAAACTCTATAAAGTAAATTGTTGGAAAGAAGATATGATGTGATTGAATTGAGAGGTTCCCTCAAAGAAATGAATAACATTGTTCAAACCACTATTCCCACAACCTGGTGTTTTCCAGATGTTTTGGACTACAACTCCCCTAAGGCCCTGCCAGAATACCATTTTCTAGCTGAGGCTGATGGGAGTTGTAGTCCAAAACAGACAGCACCAAGGTTGGGAAGGCTGGATTAAACAGCCAACCTTGGCTTGATCCTGTCCACACAATCCTGATCCAGAAAACAGATCAATTTACTGATGGATAATGTAACAAAGGGGGAATTTAAGTCTTGAAGGGCATACAACCTCTGATGACAATGGCAGTATTGCTTATTATTAGCATTATTTATGAAACACAAAGTATCAGAGCTACAACGGAAAGCATAGTGACAATTTCCTTTGACACTTACGGCTCCTTTGCAGTACAAACGCAGACGCCCTTCCGGAGTCCTGACAATTACAGACATTCGTTTTCTGTCACTGGGAAGAAAAAGAAGCAGCATTCATTGCAGTTCATGTGTTATCAGCGTCTAGCAAAGTGCTTGCCAAATGGTCTTCGGGCACAGCCCCATGGGCAGCTCAGCTGGCTAGTGTGGTGCTGATAACGCCAAGGTTGCAGGTTCGAGACAGCTGCCTATTTTGAAGTCAGGTTATCCCCATCCAGATACGACTGCTGCTGGGCCACCAGCCAAAGCTGGTTGAAGGCACCCCATGTCACAGAGGCCACTTGCGCATCCAGGGACAAGAATAGCCAGCGAATACCCCCAAGCTGAACACCTGATTCTTCAGGGGGAAGTGCAACCCCATCAAGAACTGGCTGAAGGAAACAATATGTGAAATCTTGGACATGTCACAATCTCCAGGAAGCTCTGAAATGTAAGAGACACCTGGCCCTTTATGAATGAAAAGAATTTTGGCTAGCCAAACTTATAAGTGGGGAAGTGAGAGGTGGTTTCAAGTCAGAGTTGAGTGTAAGAGCCCAGTGGTTTGAGGAAACACCTACAATACCGATCTTTTTGACCCAAAGAGGAAGAGCAAATGGTTTAGGGTTGTCTAAAGATATACAAATATGAGTAATGGGGGAATTTAGAGGCTCAGCGTCTGGAAATGTATCGTAATCAAGCCCAAGAAACTATTTCCTATAGAACATGGTTTAGGAACAACCAAATTACTTTAGAATTAATATGAAAATGTATTTATGAATACAGTGGTTCCTCCAGCGGCGTAGCGTGGGTTGTCAGCACCCGGGGCAAGGCAAGTAATTTGCGCCCCCTAACCCGTGGATTTGCGCCCCCTAACCTGTGGATTTGCGCCCCCTTACCCATGGATTTGCCCTAACCCCAGATGTTGCGCCCGGTGCGGCCGGCCCCCCCTGCACCCCCCACGCTACGCCACTGGGTTCCTCGTGTTATGGATGGGGTCCGTTCCGGAGGCCCGTCCGTAACATGAAAAGCCCGCAACTCTAAGTGGCGTATTTGTGCAGGCGCGCGGCGCGATTTGTTGCTTCTGCACAGGCGCAAGCGGCAAAACCCGGAAGTAACCCATTCTATTATTCTACCATACATTTAAAGCCCACCCATTACACATTTAAAAGTGCGTGAATTCCTCCAAAGAATCCTGGGAATTGTCATTTGCTAAGGGTACTGGGAATTTCAGGTATATGAGGGTGAAAACTACAGTTTCCAAGATTCTTTGGGAGAAGACATGTGCTTTAAATATGTGTTGAATACATAGTGCGGATCTGTCATTAGTCTAATGGTTTGGAGAAGTCAAATGTGGGCCAGATCCTTTGAGAAATACAGATCAGCAATCATGGAGACTGAAACAGCCTTTCCTAATCTCATTTTCTTTATAAATGAACGGCATGTCATTATTTTGAAATTAATGAACTTCTTTCTTCTCTCTTTCTGAATTAGATTAAAAGCAGAGGACTCTACCAAGAATACATTTTGCCATTGATGTCTTCTTACAGCGGACTGCTTGTTTTGCGGGGAGGGGGGGCGACTGAAAGCTCCATCAAACTACTTCTTTTTTAAATAAAAAAGTTCTTATTTTTCCCCCTTAGGACTGTTTTTCCCCTTAGGGCTGTTTTTTTAAAAATATATATATAGATGAAGATAATCAAACAAAAGTGCATTAGAACTGACACAGGGGACACCCGTGTATGCAATGAAATTGCCTTAAAATTGATTATTATCAAGCCAAGTATAGAGAAGTATAATTCAAGTATAATTCAACCAATTGCACAGAACGAAATCATACGTTTATAATTACATGTACTCATTTTTAGGACCAAGTCGGTTTTTTTTAATGAACTAAACATTTCAATGGGGGCCTAAAACATTTCCCAATAGATTGCACAAATTCTTTTTAATTTTGCATGGTTTTGCTTTGCTTCCTATACTTCTCAGGAGCTACTTTGGCACAATCCATTTAGAGAGGATTGTTGAGCATGTTATCCAGCCAGTTAGGGATCACATAGCAGCATTACGACATCATGATGTAGTGTAATTCCCTGGTGTATTCTGTCCCAGGAACTTGGCTAGCCTTCTCACAGCTGCTAAACTGCCATTTGAAGCAGAAGCAGTAATCTCTATCTCTCTCTCTCTCTCTCACACACACACACACACACCCCTCACACAATCTATTAGACTGTAAACTGTTCCAAACTGCAGGAGGGAATGATGTTGGGGAAGTTTGTTTTTAGGGTTTTTCCTTTAAAAAAATGAGTTTTCTCCACTCCATTTATCACATTTTCTTAGGTACTGAAATAGTTATAAAATCTAATTACCTTGAAAATTCCAATACATTGAGGATCTCATATGTCTCTTCTTTTCCTAGCTGCAAACACATGAAACAAAAATTGAACCACGTTAAGCAACAGTTAACATGCAAAGAAGCCTTGCTTCTTTCGAAAGCCCACGTTAAAACATGTGATGATAGCTCCCTCTGCTGGGCAAAATGGTGTACTTATATGTGTACCTCCAAGAGCATGGTGCACAGAATATTATTTCATTCAGCATGCATTCTCCAAGTGCATCTGTGGAGCATCTGTGGAGAACACACCTTCATAAGATTTTATGGTAAAGTGTGCAGAGGGCTCCCGTTTGACGGTGATGGGCTGTCCTGCTTGATAAGACACCTCCAGTGACTTTAACCTCTGACGCACAATTTATGTTATGGCATTCTAAGTCACAACAGAGCTCAAGCTTTTGTACGCAGTGCTCAAGAAAGCACCTACCATGAACATGGGGTACTCTGGCTTATACCAAGCGAGCCTACTGATCCACCCTAATCCATACTCTCTATGCCAGCGTTCTTCAACCTTGGGTTTCCCCAGATGTGGGTGGACTACAACTCCCATCAGCCTTGACCACTGGGCTAAGATAGCTGTGCATGATGGGTGTTGTAGTCCACCCACATCTGGTGTCAGCCCAGGAATGTCCAGGAATCCACTCTTCATTGTCAAAACAACACTGACAAGTTAGGGAAAGCCGTGTCTCTCAGCTGCCCCTAGTTGTGCACCCAATGAGGCAGTTGCAGCAACAGAGAGGCCCTGCTCCCGACCTCAGCTTATGTATCTCCCCCACCCAAGCTGCATGTAAGCAGGCAAAGGCTGTGCCTATTTGTCACCTGCTTCTGCTCCTCCCACTTCCATCCTCTTCTGGTCCTGGGAGACAGTAGAGGTAGAGGAGGAGGAGGAATGGAAGCCCTTGACTCTGCACCAGCCTGACCTGTCTCTCCTTCCTCCTGCACCTGTTGTTCACTCTCCACTCCTGCCTCTTCTCCTGCCTCTGAGTCTCATCTCCTGGCTGTCACAGGTTTCCCCGGATCACCAATCCCTTCTTCCAACCCCCTTTCTCCCAGTGCCCACTCCTCAGTATCCAGCCAGTCCCTTGACATCTGGGGACCCAAGACTGAAGAATACTGGTCTACACTTCCTGGCAAGATTACAGATTGCAGACCAAGATTACAGATAGGAGCCTTTTCCTAACCCTACCTGGGGACTGAAAGTTGCACCTTTTGCATGGAAAGTATATGCTCTTCCTACTGAGCTACAGCCCTTCCCCAGAGGTCTGGCTCCCAAGGCACCAATGGGAATCAAACACAGTTTAATAAGCAGGTGCTTTGGACAGCTAACCAATGGCCTTCCTACAGATCCCCTGACTGGCACTATTTAATTTATTTATGTTATTTATGAGCCGCCATAGAGTTCTCAGAGTTGCTTAGCGCTATCCTTTTATACATGCTCTTACCGCGTCGATGATAACAGAATCTGGAGTCCGTCCGGTGAAGACGTAGCCAAGCTTTTTTGCTCCTTTGACTAAGGCTCCTTCATCTGTCAATAGAAACAACCTGCCTTTATGGGAAATTCATTACAAATGTAGCAAATGGCTTTATTAACATAAAAGTAAATGGAATATCACTGAGGCTAATAGTGCTGAAGAGCACTTATGAAATTATATACTACAGGGTCCTACTGAAAGACTTACATCTCTCTTGCCTATTCTCAGCATTTGTCTATTTATTTTTTTAAAAAACCATACCCCAATTTTTGTATGTAACACCCCCCTCAGAAAAAACAACCCTGAAGTGGCTTACCAAAATAGTAATAGTAATAATAAAAATAGAGAGGGAATGAGGTTGCATTCGGACGTAACACTAAGCCATGCCATGGCTAGCTAACAGGTGTTGTGGTTACGGATATAGGACTAGGACCTGAGGTAAAAGGTACAGGTAAAGGGACCCCTGACCATTAGGTCCAGTCGTGACCGACTCTGGGGTTGCGATGCTCATCTCGCTTTATTGGCCGAGGGAGCCGGTGTACAGCTTCCGGGTCATGTGGCCAGCATGACTAAGCCGCTTCTGGCAAACCAGAGCAGCGCACGGAAATGCTGTTTACCTTCCCGCCTGAGCGGTACCTATTTATCTACTTGCACTTTGATGTGCTTTCAAACTGCTAGGCTGGCAGGAACAGGGACCGAGCAACAGGAGCTCACCCCGTCGCGGGGATTTGAACCGCCGACCTTCTGATCGGCAAGTCCTAGGCTCTGTGGTTTAACCCACAGTGCCACCCGCATCCTGAGGTGCCAGGGTTCAAATTCCCACTCAGCCATGAAGCCCACTGGGTAACCCTGAGCCAGCCACTCACTCTCAGTCTTACCTACCTCACAGGGTTGTGGTGAGGATAAAATGGGTGAGAGGGAAGTGTGAGCTCCTTGGGGGGAAAGGTGGGATATAAATGTAATAAATAAATAAGAGGTGTTATGAAAGTTCAAGGACAAAGCATGGCCTGGGGAAAGTTCCAAGGGCCATATTTAGGCCTCAGGCCGGAGGTTCCTTACCTCTGTCCTAGACAATATAAAAAAAACCCTCAAGATGTATACAGCCTCTGACAAACATGGGCTTGCCATCTTGGGCCCTCATTGAGGAAACCACCTCATTCTCCTTGCTCTCCATCCCCTTAAGAAAAGGAGCCAGTGACCAACCTGGAGAAGAGGCCTGGTAGATGATTGTGTTTCCGTCTCTTTCTGGGACAACGGTGTGACACACGGCCAAGAGAGTGAGGAATTCCCGGATGTGAGTAGCTGTGGGCTGAAAGGGAAGGTCCACACAAGAGTCACGCCACAAGGAATCCTGAGGGAGTTTCTAAGTCTCTTGCTGTATTTATTAGAAGAGGAAAACAAGCACTTGGGTGGTCAATGGAGCTCTCCCTCGGTTACTTTGTGGTTTCTGCCCATTATCTCATTCGATGGTTAATAGCTGCGATAACTGTTTCACCACCTACAGCATCAGAGGCCCAGTCCCTCAGGATACCAACTGCTTGCCCACAAAAGCAGAAGAGGGCCTTTCCAGAGGCCTCTGGTTGTCTGCTGTGCGAAACAGGACACTTGGCCCTTGGTCTGATCCTTGCATTAGTCCATCAAATACGGAATAATTACACTAGATCAGTGTTTCTCAAACTTGGGTCCCCAGCTGTTGTTGGACTACAACTCCCATCGACCCTAGCTAGGAGGGCCAGTGGTCAAGGATGATGGGAGTTGTAGTCCAACAACAGTTGGAGACCCAAGTTTGAGAAACACGGAGTTAGATTATTAGATAGACCGTCAGTCTGATCCAGCAGAGCTCTCCTTGTGTTAACCTCATCAAATACAAGACAATTAAACCAGATATTAGCTAGGTCTTTGGTCTGATCCAACAGGGTTCTTCTTATGTTAGCCCCATCAAATACTAGTCAGATTATTGGAGCTCAACCACAAAAGGCAGGCTTTCCCAACCTGGAGCCCTCCAGATGCTTTGAACCAACTCCCATCAGCTCCAGCCAGGTAGTCCAAAACATCTGGAGAGCACCAGCTGGGGAAGGCTGCACAAAAGGTAGAAAGAACAGCCTTCCCAGATCAGGCCAATAGTCCCCTCTTGTTTCTGGATGAGTTGTTGCAGGCCTTTATTGCTCACACAGCAAATACATCACCTACATGCCTGCAACTCAAGCTTTGTCAGCAGACAGCAAGCTATCTTAACTGCCCCAGTGCAGCCGGCCTTAAGAGGGGCATCCTATGATTTCCTTGTATTGAAATCAATTATTCAGTCTGCTTTTGTCCTTCCATGTTCACAGCTTACAATAGGTTCCACCCACCCAGTTCTAAAGCAACAATGAGGGCCTTCTTATCACGTCCGCCCTTCCACAGAGCCCTTGTCTCTCCTTTGACATGTAGTGTCAGCAGCGGTGCTGGATTTATTCCTCCGCCTGCTGCCAAACCAAAATGTCAAACCGATTACTATAGCAAATGCCCTGCTGTGTATGGGTGGTGAATAGATAACAATATTTCCCGCTTTCCAATTCAAGCTGGAAAAGGGGGACTTTTGTGTGCATCTATCAGACATTTTTTAAAAACAACAACAAACTGAATTGCAAAGATAATATTGAAATACTGCAATATTTATTTGCTGGTCAGTATCAAGAATAAATATATTATTAGGGCTCAGAAAGGAAGTCTAAACGTGAGCCTTAACCCCAAACTATCATGCAGGGTTTTTTGTTTTTTTGAAAATGAAATAATGTCCAAGTGTGTTTTCCTATTTGTTTATAAAAATATTTATATACTGCTATTCATAAAAAACATCAAAGTGGTTTACAACAATTATACAGAAAACCATAGAATAAAAACATATGACATTTTAAAATTGGAAATCAAACTATTTTGCAAAGATGTATTCTTAATTGCTTGAATAAGCCCAATGGAATGGAAGAGTTTTCAGCAGGTGTGTAAAAGTTGCAACAGCAGGTGCCTGCTGCTGACACCCCTTTCTGAATCACAACCAGTTCTTGAGAGCTTTTTGAATCAGGGATGGGTGACTCTGTCAATTTTGGTTTCTCACACCTGCAACTAAGACACCCACACCCACCCTGCACTCCCGAGTGGTACCTACAGAGCAGCAGAGCTTCTTAAGTGACTCTTCCACCCAAAGACAAAGGACACGAGCACAACAGAACTATCAGTGGAACAATACTATAGAACTGGGCTTACGTGATCGCTCTCAATATTTTGCAGCAGCCTTGGGTCATCAAATTCGCAAGATTCGCTGGTGGAAGGAGGAAGTTGACTAGAAGTCGAATAAAAGGAATGAAACGTTACCTCTTCGAAACATATGCTTCCATTAATAACACGGAGGATTTACAACATCATCAATTACCGAACTCGGGCATCAATGGAACTATTCTTATCTGCCTTCCACCAGGACAGCGATGTCTTAGGAGGCAAGAGGACATATTCTCCCCAAACATTGTATTTCCTTTATCTAGAAGCATCTCACTGGGTGGGACAGAGCAAGCACATTAGCTTCCTGGAAGGTGGTTTGCTGTTCCTTACCAGGAAGGAAAGGGGCATGGAGGTTGATGCAATGCTGGATTGGTTCCACTGGTGCTTTTGCCTGGTTCTAACTTCCCCACCACCTCACCCTTCACCCTCCTCTCCCTCCCAGAAAGCAACACTAACCCACCTGCAGATCCACTTTCAGCTCTATCTCCTCTGCAAATAGAATGCAGTTCACCCATTTCTCCAGTTGCCCTTCTTATTACTGCCTCCCCTCCAAAAGCATTTTCACCTCTGCCTTTGAACCTGGATTACTGAATCACACTGGGATTGTGTGTGGCTTCCCTTGGACTTAACCCAGAAGCTGCAGCTAGGCTGTTTACATCACATAACAACCAAGAGAGCTGCACTGGTTGCCAATATGCTATCAGAAACAGTACAAGGTTTTGCTTTTAGCATTTAAAGCACTAAATAGTCTGGAGCCAGGTTGCTTGAGGGGATAGCCTGCCTGTTATATATCCCTGTCCAGAAACTCTATTTCCCAGACCAGGCTTTTAGTGTTGCAGCTCCAGCATTCTGGAATTCAATCACCAGATGAAATTAAATTAGCATCCAGTGTTTTGACATTTAGGCGGCTACTGAAGCTTTCCCTGAACCATTTTATGGAATATTAATCTTTCAATTGTAGAAATGGCTATATTCCTTAAGAAAGAAAGTTTATGGAGTTTCTCATCTTTTACTTTTTTATTTTATTGCACAGTGCTTCAGTAACTTTTGGTTGTGAAGCAGTTTATAAATCTGCAATTAATTAATTACTTAATTAACCTCCATTAGCCACCCAGTGTCAAACCTCTGCAAAACGTGCTCAATGTTTGCCCACTTGAACCATTCCACAAAGCTAAAAGAGACACATGCCCCTCAAACTAATGTCAGTCAATATTTGCTTTACCTGAAGTCTTCTGATGAACATTCTCTTGCTAATTCTGGAAAGTGACTAAAAAGAAAGAAAGGAATATGCAAAATTGGTGGGAAAGTCTGATCTGATCATTAGAAAAAGATGGATCATAGTGCATACTTGGGTTAGGGCAAGTGGACCTAGGTCTGAAAATCTCAAGCTAAAACACATCCATCCAAGGAACCAAAAGGTAAAGGTAAAGGACCCCTGAATGGTTAAGTCCTGTCAAAGGCGAGCTCATCTTGCTTTTCAGGCCGAGGGAGCTGACGTTTGTCCACAGATGGCTTTCTGGGTCATGTGGCTAGCATGACCAAAACACTTCTGGAGCAACAGGACACCGTGATGGAAACCAGAGCGCACGGAAACACCGTTTACCTTCCTGCTGCAGTGGTACCTATTTCTCTACTTGCACTGGTATGCTTTCGAACTGCTAGGTTGGCAGGAGCTGGGACAGAGCAACAGGAGCTCACCTCATCATGAGGATTCAAACTGCTGACCTTACGATCTGCAAGCCCAAGAGGCTCAGTGGTTTAGACCACAGTGCCACCTGCGTCCCCTACTTTTTTTTCCTTTTTAGTGGCTCACTCTTGTTCTCTTCTCTCTGCCTATTAAGTATAACAGTTTCCCATACAGAACTAAGAATTTGCCACTTCAACAAAACTGATATTAAGCTATTGCAATGTATCTATATAAAATGGTACATACCCATATGTTACTCCCGCAATGCTGCATTTCTTAAAGTTCATAATATTGCATGTTAAGGTGCCCGTTTTATCAGAAAACAGGTATTTTACCTAGAAGTCAAATGGCAGGCATTGAAGTTAGGATATCTGTACAATGAAAAGGGAAGTGCAAATTATACAAGAAGGTGGGCCATCAGAACAGACATGCTGCACCTTTCTTCACACGGTCAAACAGAAATAAAGTAAGGTTCCCAGATTTTTTTTCAATGAATCTGGGGACACTTTAAATACATACATACATACATACATACATACATACATACTACATGTTCTGGACGTTGATGCTGCAGCGATGGCGGTGGCAAAGGGAAGGGAGGTTTCACATTGCCTTTTGCAGCAGCCCCATCCCAACTCCTACTTGCGTGTAAGCAGGAGGGGGCGGGGATCCCTCAGCTGGGAAGGGAGGCTTCCCATTGCCTATCTGAGAGATCCCTGCCCCCTCCTCCTCGCACGCAAGCTCTGATACAGCGTGAAGTCTCCCTTCACAGCTGAGAGATCCCTACGCTGCTCCTGCTTGCACACAAGTAGGAGTTGGGAAGCTGCTCCGATAGGCAGCATGAAGCCTCCCTTCACAGCTTAGTTGCTGGGGTCAGGGAAGGTGGACGCAGCCCGGAAACTGCATCTTAGAGCCCCTGCACCACCATCATATGGGGACTTCCGAGCAGCTTCTGAAGCCAGCCAGAGCCAACTGCTCCGGGCTGCTGAAACTGCCGCTGCTGCATTTCCTGGGGACATTAGATGAAATCCAGGGACATTATGGGGATGGAATTTGTCCAGGGACTTCTGGGAACTGTCCCCGGGAAATGGGGACGTCTGGTAACCTTAAAATAAGGGCATCTAATCCCAATGGCTATATTCTACATCATTTGGAAGAATGGCAGTATAAAAAAAGGAATAATAATGCAAAGGTATTACTTCTGTCACCTGAACTCAAAATAATCACCACTGCAGGAAATAATAAGTTATAGAGTTGTTCAAAAGGGCACAGAATGGGTCATTCATGCCACTAAGGATTTACTAGGTGCTACAATGGATATGACACAAACACAGTCCCCAGCAAGAGAGTGTTCACTGTAATTCACAATGCTTTTTAGAAGGCTTGCCTACATTCGCTGAGGAAGGGATCTAGCAGTTTATCACTGTGAATTTTCAATCCTTGTTCACAGACTGCAAGCATGGAACGAAAAGTACTGCACAAGTCTAATAGTTGGTTTTTCACATCGTTCGCTGCCATCATACCACATTCTATCGCTCTTACCTGGCCGAGTTCCTCATTAAGGTTTGAAGTCCTGGCCATTGCAGGTGTATCTGTTTCATGATAATACATATCTATGTCCTGAAAGCAAGGAGAAGTGAGGATGCTTAAAGTGCAAGCCTATAGATGCCTACACAGAAGTAAGTTCCAGTGAGTTCAAAGGGGCCTACTTCCAACTGAGTGGGTAGAGGATTGCAGCCTCAATCAACATTTGAATCTAAAGTGTTCTTCATGAAGTATATTCTATTTTTATCTGCTTCGCCAATGTTTTATGCTGAGGTTTCATTGCTGTTCTGCTCTATTTTACTAACAGTCTCATACCCACAGTGCAGTTTTGAAATCTGTGGTTAAAAGCTGTGCTGTTTTTAAAGGTTCAGTCTACCTTCTTTATTCGAAATAGAATCTAATTGAATCCAAAAATACATACAAAATCTGTTCATTGGTCTAAGGAACCACCATGCAAAATATGGGTTACATACAAAATACAGTCAAGGAAGATGTCATCAATGGGTGATTTCTGCATATTAAAATCTCCTCTGATAAATTGTGAACAGCAGGAGAGACAGAGGGGTCCCTGAGTTTAATAAATTTGTTTTTCTTTTGCATATGGAAAGTTTTTCTGGTAATTGAAAAAGCGATGTTTTCTTTTGCATAGTGAAAGTTTTGAAAGTCTTCCATGCAGCCCGCTACCAACCAGGTTCTAGCTGTGGCTGGAAAAGAGATGAAGGTTCATGCACGGCTTTGCTTAAATAAATGTCACTCTTATTTATTCAGCATTTGCTTGATTTGCTTCCCTGCTTTTACATTCCAAGTACTTACCCAGTTTATAAAAAGAGCCTGAGTAAACTTCACGACTTCCAGAGTCACCAACAGACTGATGGGAATGAGGTTGTTGTACAAGATTATGAAGGTGAGCAGGTTGTATCCAAAATTGCCTGGGATTGTTTCTGCAAGCCAACATGGAGAGGAGAGAGAGGAGAGAGAGAGAGAGAGAGAGAGAGAGAGAGAGAGAGTGTCACTAGGGAGGAAGGCATTGGTACATGTGTGGGGTTGTGTGTGTGTGTGTGTGTGTATGTATGTTTTAACACCTTTATTGTGCAAATTGCAGTACAATAACAAAACAAACTGCTACCAACTTCTCATGTGCCATTGTTGCAGTATTTGGCTGGAAAGAAGTGATAAGCATTAAAATCAACAACAAAGCCCCTCCAAAACCCAATGTGAGTTGCTGGAAGTTGTGAACTCTCAAGAGATGTTATTTGCGAAAGTTAGGAATGGAAACCACACTGCGTCAAATTGATTAGATGTAGTTTGGCCCCTCGCTTTCAACATATCATGTGGTAATCTTTCCATGAGAGCGAGACACGACACTTCCAGGCTCTAATTATTGCTGACCAATCTTAGCCTCAGGGAGGGAAGTGTCTCTGAAACTAACTCACCACTGGTAACTTACTCCAACAAAATTAAGTCATAGTAAGTTCCTCAAAAAGTGAGGTGTGCATTTTTCAATAAATGAAAATAAATAATCAAGTTTTGCTTTAAGGCAGGGGTAGAACTTTTGGGGCCTGTGGGAGAATTTCCAAACTGGAGAAACAGTCTTGGGTTCCAAACACAAACACTGCAGTCAAGTACACACCACAACCTATTCCATTGGCTACGAGACAGCGTTTCTTTATTTCAGTGGAGAGTGGGAACCCTGCGGGTGCCACAGAAACCTTCTGTGGGTGCATTGTGAAACCCTTGCTTTAAGACAATCTGTAGTACCCCAGTAGTAGTGTTGATACAGGCTTTTGCCTCAAATCTCATAATTTCACAATACTGGGTTTCTGAGTATCAAAGTGCTTCGAAGCCACCATGTTTATAATCCACATATAGTGAAATAGAAGCACATATCAACATGAGATTATTAGACGAGAAAAAAATTGGAGAAAAGGTCCAGAAGGCTGATATAAACGCTCTTGTTAAATGGAATTTATGTTCTGATTTACAGTTCCCAATAGAGCCAAAGGTTCTTAAGACGGTCAAAGAGAATTCCTAAATGCAAACACCTCTGAACTTTAGATTGTAAGAAATTCAGCTTCTGTAAATCACTGGAGGGAAGCAAAGGTTAGGATAACTTGAGCGCAGCGGCCTTTTCTTACATTGTATGCATGGACCAGGTGTTCATTTTAAGAGGCTTGTTTTACCATCAACTCTTGAAAAAGGTCTCTTCCCCACCTCCAGCTCTGATAATATAAAAAGAACACGACAGAGGCTGCTTGCATTGTCCTGGAGTTAATAATATGAGCTAACAATGCCCTCTGAAGGTTTTTTTAAAAAAAACATGCTGTAACCTCAGATCCTGAGATAACAAACCTCCCTCTGCTGCCAAGTAATTGTTCTTTACAGCCATGACAAACTTCACAACAACTGCACAAAAGCCAGCTAACTGATGATGATGGCTAAGAAAGGAAAAATGCCTCTGGCAGTTTGCTTCTGACTCAGATTCATCCTTGCACATGTTGACAAAATACAAGGAGGCAGACACCTTTTAAAGCACTGTGCAAACCCGTCCCAAAACACAGCCCCGCTTTCCACAAATGCATCTCAGAAGAGAACAGCAGCTACACACTGACAACCTGTACCGCAAGGCAATAACAGGGTGCAACTGTACCTTAACTCAAGTAATTGCATGCTTCTATTTCCACACGTGTGTTACCTGGTTAACAGCAACACAGAAGAATATGAGGATGTGTAATGGATAAACTGGCATGGGAAGGAGGGGGAGCTTAACTCTTCCTTCATAGGAACATTAAAGGTAAAGGTAAAGGGACCCCTGACCATTAGGTCCAGTCGTGACCGACTCTGGGGTTGCGGCGCTCATCTCGCTTTATTGGCCGAGGAAGCCGGCGTACAGCTTCCGGGTCATGTGGCCAGCATGACTAAGCCACACACGGAAACGCCGTTTACCTTCCTGCCGGAGTGGTACCTATTTATCTACTTGCACTTTGACGTGCTTTCGAACTGCTAGGTTGGCAGGAGCAGGGACTGAGCAACGGGAGCTCACCCCGTCGCGGGGATTCGAACCGCCGACCTTCTGATCGGCAAGTCCTAGGCTCTGTGGTTTAACCCACAGCGCCACCCGCGTCCCTAATCTAATCTAATATCTAATCTAATCTAATATCTAATCACATTTAATATAAGAGCACAAATTGTGCCTGCTGGATCAGCTCAATGGCCCATCTGGTCCAGCATCCTGTCCTCGCAGTGGCCAATCAGACGCCACATCCTGCACTTAAGGATCCTGTGCAGAGGAAATGTACCATCCTGCTTACCCTTCTCCTCCCACCATTTGTCTTGTTCTAATTCTCGCAGATCTATTTTTAAAGGGCAGAGGGGTGGAGCGAGCAGCCAGGCGCCATTAGGACGGAAAGAGCCTTCCGCAAAGAAGCCACGCCATCAAAGCCAACCCAACAAGGAATGACCTACAAGTCATTGGTGAGAGCTGATGCCCTCCTCCAAGGAGATCAAAGAGCTTTCTCTCGGCACGGCCACCCAAAGGGCAAAGCATCAGAAACAACAGATGACAGCTGAGAAAAGCAGCTCAGAATGACAATCGCCACCAGTAACGGCATTGTTCACAGTATTTAAAAGGCATGCATTTATTGCTATGGTGTGGTGGGGTTTTTTTGTTTTGTTTTGGTAAGCATCTGCAGCATGAGATAGCAGTCGGAATGCATTTTTTTAAGAACCTGCGACCCACTTTTCAGCTCACTGTGAAACCCAATCAGTAAGGTCCACAAACCGCTGGTGTGCACACATTTGCACTTAAGCCTCCTTAATGCCACTGCAGTGGAGTGGAGGGGAACTGGCAAAATCCCAGTAAAGAAGTGCACCTTTAGGGAAGGCAGATTCCACGCTTCCTCAAGAGCAGCTGTAATACGGACATCATGGCATCACCACAACTCTCTTTATTGAACCCATGCAATGAACAAGCTTCTAGTTCTAAGGATCTTGTGATCTGGGTGCCAAATGGCTGCAAACCAGGATTTCAATAGAGCCAAACAATTGAAAAAGCTGGAAGATTTAAACCTCTCCTTATACTATAAAAAAACTGTGGGCTTTAGCTATAGCAGACAAGAGAATGCATAAACTACAAATACACGGGGGTCTTCTGCAAAGTGACCAGGAATGCATCCGAGGCTAAAAGAGACAGCCTTCTTATGATTTCAGTTTTACTCCAGTGAATTTCACAATAATCCTTTCCCCACCACTGATGTTTCCTTCTCTCCTCCATCTTCACCTGTTGAAACCTGGAACAGTGCCCTATGCTGCCCCAATTTCTGGATCACTGGCACTGAAACACAAATGCCTTCCTTTCCCTCCCCCTTTTCTGTCCAGCAACATCTATTGTCTTCTCAGCCTTTTGTACGTCAGTTCCAACTAAACCTGCTAAAGGGAGGTAAACAGGACCAGGAGGAAGCAAAACACAACCCTACCCTTGTATACATAACACTGCAAAATGATCTCCGTAAGCAGCTGAGACAATAAGGGCAGGTGTTTTTCCTTGGCACCAACGCACAGCTGCTTCTTTCAGGCTGAAAGATCAAGGGAAAAGCCTGGGAGGGCAAGTGAGCACAATATGGGAGTCCGTAGACAGAACGTATTTAATTGTTAAACTGTACAGAAGTTAAGGTGAGTATCTTAGCTTACCAGTGCATGGCCAGATCCGAACCACACATTTAAAGACTGTGGTGCCACTTGAAACAGTCATGGCTCCCCCCAAAGAATCCTGGGAAGTGTAGTTTGTTAAGGGTGCCAATCATTGTTAAGAGACCCCTATTCCTCTCAAAGCTACAACTCGCAGAGTTTCCTGGGGAAAGGGACTGACTGTTAAACCACTCTGGGGATTGTAGCTCTGTGAGGGGAATAGGGGTTTTCTAACAACACCCAGCACCCTAAATAAACTACAGTTCCCATGATACTTTGGGGGAAGCCACAGCTGTTTAAATCGGCATCATGGTGCTTCAAATGTGTGGTGCAGATGTGGTCTTACTCGTTCTCTTAAAGCGACAGTGTTTTTGATTCTGGAATAAGAGGATCACACATAGAGAGACAAACACAGATGCTGATCTTGCTTACTGTTTGAGCCAAAGTACCAAATGACTTCTCCATGTGTTCTGTTCCATAGTAAGGCACCCACAGAACTCACTAGAGCCATAACGAGCAGGATGCAAAACAAAATGAGAATCTGCATATTGGTCACTTTCTCCACATTCGATCTCTTCAAGGGAGCTTTGGTTGAATTCTGGAAAGGAACAGGCAGAGAAGCTGAATCAATTCACCGAGCTCATCATATAAGAGCCAGAGGAACATCTGAAGGAGCGTCTCCACCCCCATCGTTCTACCTGGACACTGAGGTCCAGCACCAAGGGCCTTCTGGCGGTTCCCTCACTGCGAGAAGCCAAGTTACAGGGAACCAGGCAGAGGGCCTTCTCGGTAGTGGCGCCTTCCCTGTGGAACGCCCTCCCATCAGATGTCAAAGAGAAGAACAACTACCAGACTTTCAGAAGACATCTGAAGGCAGCCCTGTTTAGGGAAGCTTTTAATGTTTGATGTATTATAGTATTTTAATATTTTTTGGAAGCCGCCCAGAGTGGCTGGGGAAGCCCAGCCAGATGGGCGGGGTATAAATAATAAATTATTATTATTATTATTATTATTATTATTATTATTATTATTAACCATCTAGCCCCATACTGCCTGCACTGCTTCACCAGGATTTCAGGCAGGAACTTTCCCCAGAAATACAAGGAGATGCTGGAGACTGTACCTAGAAGTCCCTCTCCTGCAAAGTGCAACGATCAGTTGGGTATAGAATGGACGAGACTATTATTTAGTCCCAGGTTATACAGGGCTTTGTACACCAGAGCCTTGAACTTATCCTGGCATCTGATTTGCAGCAAGTGTAATTCTTTCAGCAGCAGCGTAACAGGATGGCAGTGGTCATCTTTCCTTGGTGGCCATTCTTTAATTCCTGAAATGCAGGGGTTTGGACCCCCTTACAACACTACAGTTCTATGATTTTAGTCTTCCCCAGAATCAACAAACATTCTCACTCCTTCCTTCCCTTGGGCAGTTAGGTCTTAACTCGCCCCTGGGGAAAGCGAGGTGAGGCTACCGTTGGGAAACAAATCTTTGCAAGCTTCATTCAAGTGGTCCATGTTAAATATCCATCTGTATTTTAATTGTATTTGTATTGCTCTTTTCACTGCTTATATTGGATCTTATTGTATTACGATTCATATTCCACAGAATTCAAATTGCAAGTGCAATAAAATACAATATATAAGAAATAAAAGAAGCGGTGAAAATACAATTAAAAATTAGCACAGCACATTACAACTGCTAAGCAGGAAAAAAAATAATTAACCTCAGCAACTTTCAAGTGGCCTATGTGGGGCAGGAAGTTTGGGAACCACTGTGCTAGAGGAGTGGTGTTTATCCTCCCTAGAAGTCTCCCACTTTGTAAGAATTCAATCCTTTAGTGTGGCAGCACTTGCACTTTCGAACTCCCTGCCTACTGATGTCAAACAGGTGCCTTCGCTGTATTCTTTTTTGGCTCCTGCTAAAAACATCTCTGTTTAGACAACCCTACCTAGATATTTAGAAAGTTGATAGGAGCTTTAATCTGTTTTTAAGCTTATTGCTATTTTAACTTTTTGAAAGTCTTAAATTAATGTTGTTAATTCTTCTTGTAGATAAATTCACTGTTTTATCTTTTGGCAAACCACTTTAAAAAAACAACAACAATCCAGTATAAACTAACTAGATAGATAGACAGACAGACAGACAGACAGACAGACAGACAGATGATAGATAGATAGATAGATAGATAGATAGATAGATGATAGATAGATAGATATAAAAGAAATAAGCAGAGGTGAAAAACTGGCAAAGCTACTCTTTGGTAATGGAAAGCCAACTTTACCTGCATAAGTTTCGTATCATGTCCTGTGTAGACAACAATTCCTAAAACCCACTGAGTGTTCCTTATCTGTGCACCTCTTAGTAAGATCTGGTCAGGTCCAATCGGAACTGGACTGAGGATAAAGAAGGAGAAAAAGGTTGGAGGTAGAAACAACAACATGGTCCAAAAAACAAGATGCACCACAAAGATGTTCTTAAAATTTAAAATAAATTTTAAATGCGAATTTTGCATTGCAGTTACCCAACCAAGTAATGTGTACAAAGATGTGTGTACTAGGTAAAGTATGCAAAAAATGTGTTTTCTTAAGGGATTTTTTTTCCAATAGAAGAACGTATTAGGCTAATTTTCATGCAAATATGTGTGTAATTAAAGAAACCTGCATTAAAATTCTGGTGGGTTTTCATGAGGACATTTAAAAAAAATCAAATTAATGTGGAAATATGGAGAACAGAATTTCATATTGGAAAAACAAGAAAATGAGAGAAAACAAAACGGATAGGTTCATCCATCCCTACCAGAGGGAAACCTGGGCAACGACCCACAATTCCCTGTGATCCTATTCCCTCATGCATACAGAGCCAACCCCTCTTCCCAGCTCCCTTCAAGTGTGCATAGCCACGCACGGGGAGAAAAGACCTCCAGTATCCTAGAGTAAAGCTTAGGCACATGGGGTGTGTGGGGGATGTGCATTAAACATGGCAATAGTTATTCTTTTATCCAAGGAATACCTTTGGCCATCTAAACGCAGGTTTCCAGTGAAGTCGTACAAGTGACGGTTGGGCCCTTCGCACTCTATCTTCCCAGATGTTTTCATCACTTCTTCTTTTGACTGGAGGCAAGCAGTCTGGGTCAAACCCTGCAAGGGACCAGTCCACAGGCACAGTCATCAACTAAACTCTTCTCTCTTCTCGTGAATTAGCGCAGGACTACATTGCATGGTGCCCCTCCAGAAACTGTTGGGACTTCAACACTCCCACGAGCCCCAACTGCTGGCCATGTTGATGGGAACTGAGCAACATCTGGGGGCAGCACATTAGCTACCCCGGGTTCAGGGTCTATCATGTAAAGCTGCCTGCTTTACACTGCATTAAGACTCTCCTGGTTCTACTAGAAGTATCCTTCCCATTGTGCCAAGCTGTGGCAAATGCGGATGCTGCCGGGATGCATCTCAGACAACATCTTTCTCATTTAAATAATAAAAAAGGACTAAACCGTCTGCTGTCTCATCTTAAATAAGGATTCCCTGCCCCAATTGATTTTTGACAACCCGCTTGAAAGTTGCTGGGGATGACATTTTCTCCACTACCGAAGGAGAGGCACATTCTAGGCCATAGTTTTGGAGGAGTCATGAGACAGTATTAAAGCATGCAGATGGTCCTGCTGTTTCTCTCCAGCTAAAAGGATGAGGTAGCAGATGACAACAGCTCTGCCTGGAAAGCCACTGCCGATCACTGTGGACCAAAGAAAGGACCTGTGGCCCTCTAGCCATTGTCTGTCTCCATCTCCCATCACCCTCAAAAAGCATGGTCCATGGTCAAGGATGATGAGAGCTGTAGTGGAATGGCATCTGGAGGGCCAAAGATTCCCCCAGTCCTGATGTATACAATACTGGACAAGACAGATCACATCTGACTTGGTATCAGGCAACTTCACCTAAGCCTGTGACTACAACCCTGGAGAAGAAGTCTCCCAAGAATGCCTTCCCATACCCCTCTCATAGGTGCTGTGGTTATGCTAAGTTGAGCAATGAGTACATATTTACACGGCTGCTATAATGAACAACCAATATTCAGACATGCTGTAGCAAACCTCTTATTCCAACTAATATTTCTGCTATTCCTAGTTATCATTTCCTCGACTTTTCAAAAAAATCAAAAGATTTGTGTTGGGTTTTTTTACCTGCCGTATTTTAAGGTTAGTCTCCCCATCGAGATTAGATGTTTCAATATAGCACATCGCCTGAGGTTCACTGTAAAAGTACAGCAACATGTTATATAGCATACACACCATGCTTAAGAAGCAACCTCTAAAAAGAAAGGTGCCTGCAAAATAAGTAAGAAAGTACACTCACTGGCTCAACACACAATAATTCAAGCAGTGATTTCCCCCAAAACTGTTAACTGAATTTGTGGCGTTTTGTTTAAAAAAAAAAGAAACTCTACCATAAGGATTTTATTTATTTTTTAGTATGCAAACAGCGCAAAAAAAATAATGCAATGCAGGCTTTATACAAAATCAGGAAACACAGCACCTTCAGAACATGCAGACTCTGGTGAACTGAGGCCTATTTAAATAAATGAATAAATAAATCCTATGCACCACGGGAAAAACTGATGTTAACAAAAGCAATCCTTTGCAGAAATGTCCAGCACAAACAGCATTAAGGTACATTGGCCAGACTCTGCCATAACGCAACATCAATTTATGTAGTAGTGTAGCAGAACCCACTTCCAGCACAACACTGTTCTAGTAATATCTGTATGGAGAAACCACAGAAGCAAAACAAATTATGTGGTTCATTCCCCTGCAGTGCAATCCGCCTTGAGGACCAACGGAGGCAATGAGATGGAACCGTGACATCCTCTCAGCCCATCTGGTTTCTCCATTCAGACATTACTTGTAATAGTAAGGGCACAAGGAATTGAGCCTCGTGTATCTGTGCCAATATGTAAAAGAAGAAAGTATCTTTCACGGAACACGGGAAACTGGCTGCTTGCTCTTTACCTAACGGGAGAGGGTTAATAGGAGAGCATGCAATTCTGCAGAATATTAAACTTCAAAACTATGGTTTGATGTGCTCACTTGTTCCAAAGTTAGTAACCATAGGTTTTCCCAGTGAACAGGAAACTGTGGTTAGTTAGAGGCTTCCTGGTTGAATTGCAGCTCTCACACAGAGGAAGGAATAAGGGGGGTTGTGTATTCGCACGTCAGCTTAATAGGACTGCCCAAATGCAGCCCGTGTGCTGCTCTAGTGCACATTCAGATGCTGCCCCTGTGAGCTGAAGGTGCCTGCATGTAACCAATTCAGGGAAGGGAGAAAGGAAGGCAGTCCCATATTATCTGAAGTGCAAAGATTGTTTCTTTAAAAACCTCAGTTTAGCAGAAGCATCATTTCACAGCCACTCAGCATATCTGACCTGGTAGATAAAATGATCATGTCTGCTGGGAGGTGCTGCCCATTGGTGACCTTCACAAAGTCTCCCACTGCCACCTGTTGAGCCAGGGGCAGGAGTGCAGCAGCATGAAAAGAGAGAAAACGAACAGAGAGAAAGACAAGAGTCCATCCATACTGTTAGTTAGTCAATCCTCCATACCAAGAGAAGAGGGGAAACAACAGTGTGTTATAATGAGCATTAACAGTTTTGAGGGGAGCCCATTCGCTGCAGGGACAGAGTCTGGGGTCTTTGGCAACCAGCAATGCCTCCTGAGTGGAAGTGGCAAAAAGGGGGCATTGATGCAATGGCATCAGAAGGCAGGTCCTTGAAACAGAGGAGGGGAAAGGGCTGCACCCAGGGACTCAAAAGAGAAAGAGGGAGCTGGGGAGAAAATAGAGCAGACGTGGAATAGACACCTGGAGTAAAGAATTGCATGGTTGACTCTGCCCTTTTCTTTTCCTGGTTTTATCTGCCAGCGGTAGGTAAAAGGTAAAGGGACCCCTGACCATTAGGTCCAGTCGTGGCCGACTCTGGGGTTGCGGCGCTCATCTTGCTTTACTGGCCGAGGGAGCCGGCCTACAGCTTCCGGGTCATGTGGCCAGCATGACTAAGCCGCTTCTGGCGAACCAGAGCAACGCACGGAAACGCCGTTTACCTTCCCGCCGGAGCGGTACCTATTTATCTACTTGCACTGGCATGCTTTTGAACTGCTAGGTTGGCAGGAGGAGGGACCAAGCAACGGGAGCTCACCCCGTCGCGGGGATTCGAACCACCAACCTTCTGATCAGCAAGTCCTAGGTTCAGTGGTTTAACCCACAGCGCCACCCGCATCCCTCTGCCAGTGGTCTATCAGGCTAAATCCAGTGGACTTCAATGGCCTATAAGCAGCATAACCGCATGAAGGGTTGTATGTAACCTGAGCGAATGGTCCTATTGCACTAAGCCAAAGGTTTTCATCCTTTTATTCCAATTCACTTTATCCAACAAAGGTGTTCCAAGTTTTGATTCCTTCGATGTTTTAAAACATATTCCTCTTTTCAGGGTGAAGCATATTAAAGCAGCTTGGGTTTTGTTTCCTTCTCACTTTCATTTGCAAATTTGTTCCTAGTTTACATAATGTGGCAGCTACATCGTACCAATGGAAGGGCGATACATGTTCTGAGTGAAATGAAATGTGCCCCTTCTTCATCTGCCCATTTTAAGCAGTCTGCACTCTAGAATAAAATATGATGTACAGTGGTGCCTCGCAAGACGAAATTAATCCGTTCCGCGAGTCTCTTCGTCTTGCGGTTTTTTCGTCTTGCGAAGCACGGCTCTTAGCGGCTTAGCGGCTCTTAGCGGCTATTAACAGCTTAGTGGCTTAGCGGCTATTAACGGCTTAGCGGCTTTAAGAAAAAGGAAACAAACTCGCAATAACTTGCAAGACGTTTTGTCTTGCGAAGCAAGCCCATAGGGAAATTCGTCTTGCCGAACAACTAAAAAAACGGAAAACCCTTTCGTCTAGCGAGTTTTTCGTCTTGCGAGGCATTCGTCTTGCGGGGCACCACTGTATTCAAATTGGCAAGGAAAGGAGCTGAATGACAACACTGTACCCTATTATCCTTCCTGGCTTTCAGGATTTTTACTAATGTATTAATGCTGTGCAAATGCTGTCTTACATATTTAATTTCATGATCTGCCCTACTGGCTCTCTCCCCCCCCCCCCCCAAAGGATTTAAGACGGGCATTATTAACTAGGGCTGTGCAAGCTCCACCCCCCCACCCCACCCCTGACCCAATTTTGGGCTGAATTTGGAGATCTAGCCTTGATTCACCCACAAACAAATCAACCCAGACACAATCCGAATCCAGAAATACACACCTGTATTTTTCTACTCCAATAGTTAACCAACATGGTCACACTGAGCATGCTCCAGCACTCAATGAGGTGTTTTAGTTGTGGGTTTTCTGTCTATACTTCTGGAAAGCTTAGTGTTCCCCCAATCATGCTGATGCCATGTTTCTTTTCCATGTATGGATGGCGCCATTTTGGCTGCATATGGACCCACCACTTGGAAAATAAACCAACCACTGCCACATAGGACTCTGAACTTCTTTTACCAGGGCTCCTTTCTAAGTGTGGTCCATCTCCTCTCTGCTTCCATAAACAATGAGTGACACATCTATATCAAGCAAGCAGACATGCATTTATATTACACAATTAGTAATCATTCCTTGCTTGGGATTTAAAATGGGAGAGCACATACGACCTGAGAAACACTAAGAATTGCTCTGTGAAGATATATGAACTAAGAACCTTGAACCCCAGCGCAGATCAAAAATATGAGTATCTAATTCGCAAAACATCTTAAATTAGTTCTTACCTCTTTCCACATAATATTCTGCCACGTCCCATTTCTTAAAACTGGAAGAACAAGGAAAAAAAGAAAACTGCATCTTTCTCTCTCTTTTTTTTTTAAAAAAGAAATTATCACATATTAATGTGTTCCCTATCACTGATCGGTCTATGAGTCATTGATCACTCTAAAAAGAAAGTAGAGTGGGGAGGCTCAGAAGACCCTGACATCTCCCCAAAATGCTCTACAAGCAAGTTTTAATGCTACAGCTTTCTTTTTTCATCGGGTTGGCAACTGTGGGTCAAGCAGAACTCCCCCAGGGATCAGATTTGTTCTAGCAGTTGCTGAAACAATCCCAAATTCTTAAATTAAGGTGAAGTTCTAAGTGGCCACATTTGTATGGTTTAGCATTGTGAGAATAAGCCTAGCTTATGCCTGCCCCTGCACACTCCCAATGTCTTTGCCACTGTGACTGTGAAGAGCACACTGGAAACTTCCAGTTTAGAATTAACCACAGTTAGTATGTCCTCCAAACACCCAGCGAAAAATAAGTCAGCTTCATAAACTATGGGTTGAAGACTCACTAACAATCGTTAAAATGAACCACAGTCTGGCCTTGTTTGCACATGCTAAACCATGACTAAGGCTATCCATGGTTAACGTTAGCAATCATCTATATAACTTAGTTAAAGCTGAGGCATCACACAATCACTTAAACCTCACAATTAAATCACAAAACAGTTAAATGCACCAGCAAGAGGAGCTGAGTCTTGAGAGTGGCTTGACTATTTTGCTGTTTTTCACTAGTGACTCTGTAGCTTTTGGGTAATGACAATTCCTTAGCCATAGTTAAGGAGGAGGCCCAGTCAATATGTAACCCTAAACCAAGATTAACGTTAGCTAAGGTTGACAAACCAACTAAAAACTTTCATTAGTGAGTAACCGTTCACAATAGTTCACAAACCATACTTAGGTGGCCAGAGTAGGTTCACACATAACACTGAGCCATGGTTTAGTGTTATGTGTATACCAGACCCAGGAAAGCTATAGTTGATAAAAGAGTACAGGGGAAAGTTTCTGAATGCCAGATCCAAGCTGCACCAGAGGAGGAAGAGGAGGAGGAGGAGGAGGAGGAGGAGGAGGAAATCACAGGCCCAGCTCAAGATAACCTGTCATTATTTCAGATAAATCTACAACATTAAAATGGGGGGGGGGGAATGGGCACTGAAATTTGACCCATAAAGTATGCTTTAAATTAAAGGAAGAAAACCTGATGTTCTGCCAAAACCTCAGCCAAAAGTCAATACTGCGCATTTTAATTTAAAAACGGGAGCTTGCAAGTAATTGTATAAACCAGTGTAATTATTTCTCTCTCAGATATGGATTGCCACTGCTAAAATCACGTAAGGGAATGGATCTAAGTATACTCAGGCAGCTCATCATATACAATATACTATTCTATGCAATTATACACCATGGTGGTGCTTGAGACAAGTGCGGTGACTGCATTGTCACTGATTGCTCCAACCCAATTGGTGCCTATTTGTACCTTTGTGTAATTAGAGACAATGGGGCTGTGTGAAATGATGCAGAATACGGCATTAATCACTCAGTCGAAATAAAGCATTTCTCATTTTCATTTATTTAGATTTGAATCTGCCATTGCCCATGACAATACAGCAAATAAGACGAAGGAGCAGGAACACAAAGATAAATAATGAATATAGTAATTAAAGCGGGATAAGACACGTTCTTGCAGAATTGATAATGACGATAATGCAGTGTCGTTTCGTGCCCCCTTGGCGCAGTGTAATCAGGTACTACTTATAATAATTAGGCAAAAGGTAAAACTTCCAATCATGACTAATTATCAACACGTGGCATCTAAACAATTATATACTTTCTCCCAATTCTTTCCCTTGCAGGTTATATTAGAATTTAGTCATAAATCACAAATTATGGAAACCAAAAGTAATCCTTGACCCACTTTGCACGTCACAGTAAACCATAGCTGCTGGCTTCCTATAAATGTTTTTATCTGGACAACTTTTCCATTCCCTGCTAACATATGGAAGGAAGGAAGCATGATCCTTAGCTTAGTGCTGCCTCCAAAAGTTCAAGTAAATCATGATCAGTGAGCCCCAAACAAACCTTTGTTACAGATCATGGTTTATTGAGAGCGAAATAAACCATAATCATATATATTAGTTCCACATTTGTGTGAAATCCATCTTTTAGTGTGGCAGCACTTGCCGCTCCCTGCCTATTGCAATCAGATGGGCATCTTCACTATACTCTTTTTAGTGCCTGCTAAAAATAGACAAGTTTATCCAGATATGCAAAATGCTGATATGTGTTTGATTCCCCACCACTGTCGATTTTAATTGTTGTTGTTTTTTACTGTTTTCAATAGTTGTTTTAACTGTCTTTGACTGATAGTTTCATTTTATCCTTTTCGTGAATCGCTTTGAGGGCTTGTATTTTTACAACCAAGCAGCATATAAACTTTGTGAAATAAATGAAATAACAAATAAGACAATCAGGTTGTGACTTTCCCCCCTGTGTGTACTTTATTTAAAAGGAAATTAAAAGAAGACCTTACCCACTGTTTTCTTTTTGTTCACCGTACTGTCAGCCTTGTGTCTTTTCTATTGGGAAGTCAAAGTACAAACATTTAGTTGGAGAAACACTGAGAAAAGTGATCTGTGCACCCAAAAGGCTAAAGCAAAGCAGAGGAACTGAGAGACAAGACCACTTCTATTATGCTTGACATTTCAAGTTCCAAAATGTATCAAGGCCTTTCAACTCTCTAATGGGCTGACCAGCCAATGCGCACACAATGAATCTTTGTACTTGCAAGGTGCTTTTGCTAAGAGCTCCACCTGCTTCATATTATCCTGATAAGCCTTACAACACCTTGCAAGACACGTTAGTACAGTATCATTGTCCCCACAATATAGAGAATGGAATGAGGATGGGGTGGGGAGAGTCACTAGTTTGTGGAGGCAACTGGGAAGAGTTCGCACCTTTGGTTTCAAGTACAGTGGTACCTCGGGTTACATACGCTTCAGGTTACAGACTCCGCTAACCCAGAAATAGTACCTCAGGTTAAGAGCTTTGCTTCAGGATGAGAACAGAAATCATGCTCCGGCAGCGCGGCAGCAGCAGGAGGCCCCATTAGCTAAAGTGGTGCTTCAGGTTAAGAACAGTTTCAGGTTAAAAACGGACCCCCGGAACGAATTAAGTACTTATAACCCGAGGTACCACTGTAGCTGGAAGGGGCCATAGCTCAGAGGCAGAGCAATCCAGTGCTTTGCATGCAGAAGGTTTCCAGGTTCAAATCTTGGCACCACCAGAGAAACCTCTGTGAAATCCTGAAGAGCCACTGCCAGTCTGTGTAGAAGATACTGAACTATTTTGCTCGATAAATCAATTCCCTCTAACAAGTATAAAGCAGTTCCTATGGTTGCAGGCTGCGCAGCTATCACAGAAGCCATAACAGCTTCACTGCACAGTGATCCCTCTTGTGTTCAGGCTTTGAGATTCAAAATATTTTTGTACCCGTTTACTCCAGCAAAACTAGGTGACGTTCTGTGGTCTGGTATCTTATAGGCGACATACGTATTGGACCAATGCTCACATAACAGCCACATCCTGCTTTAAGTAAAGCTTCCTTCAAATCCCAGGCTAAGTGCACCAAGAACGCAAGAGGCCTGCAACTGTTTAATAACAAATAAGTAATTTCACACATCTCATAGCCCTTTAGGTGCATAATTTTTCAATCCTTATTCCATTTAGCCACACAAGAGCCCTATGATTTAGGTCAATAATGTTACTATTTTACAGATGGGAACCGAGGCGAAGATAAGGCCACCCAATAACCACAACAAACCACAATCCAAATCCAATCTCCCATGTCTCCAGCATTATGGACCATTCCTGGCCTGCGTCTAGCAGGCAAACATTTCCAAATTTAGCTCTTCTACCTTCTACCAACCAAGGGAGCGGCTTTGAGCCATGTCCAACGCATGCTATATTGCTTCGCCTATACATTTTAGATAAAATAAAATAAAAATGCAATTTTGTGCCAGTAATTCCAAGGCTGTGCAGACACCGTGGAGCCCTGGGCAGAAACTTCTGAAAGGACGGATTATTTCGGTGGCATAACTTCATCAGTGTTCAATAGGAACGGGGCTTTAAAGGTCTGTCTCAAGGTAAAGCTGAAATGTTTTGTCTGCAAAGAAACGCCAAATGAATTTGGCTAGGATCCAAAGAGACACACATGGGGAGTTTCTGCCTGCACAGTGGCTCAGAAACCTCTTGTTGAGGAAGGCTCTGTTACAGCTACAGTTTTAATTCTCTTTGATGGATGTCTGTGATGAAGTAATTAGTTTTGTTTGCTGCACTTTTCTATCCATTTTTTTCCTCCAAAGAAATTAGCTGAATTGTGGTTCCCAGGAGGTCACCTCTCTCCAGGCAACTTACAGGGCCGGGTCTGCTAAATTTTAGCACTACGACTGCATCACATCAGGAACAAAGGAGGCTGCCTTATCAAAGGTCAGACAAGGCTTCTCTAACCCAGAGCCTCTAGATGCTTTAAACTACAACCAGCATAATTCTGGTGGTCAACAAAAGAGGTTTAAAGACTGTCTCAAGGCAAATCTAAAAAAATGTAGTATAATCACTGACAACTGGGAAACACTGGCCTGCGAGGGCTCCCGTTGGAGAACAGCCTTTACCAAAGGTGTCATGGGCTTTGAACATGCTCAAACTCAGGACGCAAGGGAGAAACGTGCTAAGAGGAAGGCATGCTTGGCAAATCCACACCATGATCAACTCCCACCCGGAACCCTATGTCCCCACTGTGGAAGAACGTGTAGATCCAGAATTGACCTCCACAGTCACTTACGGACTCACTGTTAAAACCATATTTATGGAAGACAATCATACTCAGCTACAAGTGATCACCAAAGAAGAAGAAACTACAACACCCATCAGCCCCAGCCAACATACTCAATGGAATCAGATGATGGAAGTTGTAGTCCAAAGCTTCTGGAGGATACCAGGTTGGGTAAGGCTGCCCACCTAGCAAAGCCTCGTCTGTTCAGACTGACAAAAGCTCTCCAGAGTCTCAGGCAAAGGCCCTTCTCATCAATTGCAACCTGATCTATTTTTAACTGGAGGCACCAGGATTGAACCTAGAACTTTCTACATACAAAGCGAGAGCTATTTTTCAGCCCTCCATCATGTCCCTGCAAACCATTATCTGGGCACCACGCACCAGGCTTGGTCACTGGCCACAGCAGTAAGTGCAAGTGATGAAACACTGCTCTGGGAGGAACTAAGAACTGGCAGCTCTAGCACCGATTTCTGGGGCAAGGTCGTACCCAGGGGACCTGCTGTGGCCAAAAGACTCAGAAGCAGAGCAGCAACTGGAACATCTGAAAGCTGATGGGAAATGTGTGCACGCTTTTGCATCTCCATAGCAACTCATAGGGCAGGGTTCAACTAAGTTGTTTCGTGCATGGAACAAGGTCCAAAAAACAGGACTTTCCCCCTGTGGACCCCTTGCATTTGCTCTGGAGGGTTGGGGAAAACCCCAGAACAGGCTTAGGGGGTAAGCAGAGGGGACGAGAGGGTGGAAAAGTCTTGTTGTGTGAGTGGACTTCCTTCCCCACGTGCACAAATCCTCCCAAGCTATGTTGAATCCCACCCATTTTTATGTTGTTGTCTTTCAGATGTGCTGTGAGAACTTTGGTAATTAGGCAGGTCATATGACAGAGTTCATATAAACGAGCAGTACTGCCCATTAAGACTACAGAGCCTCATAGACTCTATCATTAAGTCCCACTGAACTCAGTGGGGCTTATCTCAGAATATAAAATTAAGCTTTGTAACAACAGAAGAACCCTGATGAATCAGAGGCCAGCTGCTCATCTAATCCAGTATCCTCTTACAGCCTGATGGAATGGCCACTTCTAGGTAGATGAGTTGAGTGAGAGAGTCAAAGGCCTGATTTCCTGCTCACCCTCTGCTCTTAGCATATTTGTTCTTCTTGTATGGTTTTGTACTGATTCTGGCTGCAATGGCAGGGTGGAATTAAATATCAGGAAACTACATAAATAACTAATACATCCCAATGCACAATTGGTGTCCTTTGAATGCAAGGTGTCCACTAGTGTCTCTATAGGTTCCCCCATACACACAAATGTCTCTTGCATGACCACATCTAAGTTTCAAAGGATCGGAGGAACATTGGTTAGAAAAGACAGAGAAGTGCTTTATAGTACATCAACCCATTGGCCCATCTAGCTCAGTGCTGCCTGCACTGACTGGCAGTAGCTCTCCAGTATTTCAAACAGGAGTCTCTCCCTGCCTGGAAATGCCAGGAATTGAACCTGGGACCTTCTGCATGCAAAGTGGATGCTCTGCCACTGAGCTATGGCGCTTCCCCTCCAACAATAGATGGTTGGCCTATTTCATCCAAATGCACAACATATACTCACATAGTCTTCAATAATCTCCTTGATGCCAGCAACCGTGAGAATAAATAGCAGTGGCACCAAGGTGGTATATCTTCCAGTTGGTGAGACATCTGGAATTTGCTGAAAAGGGAAAAAAATTATGTTATGGCTATGACCAATGTTTTCTCCTACTGTGAAAGTACTGAGAGAAAAAAGCCAAAATTCCTGATGCCATTTGCTAAATGAAAAGCAACCTCTGGAGGGAAGAACTTGTAGTTGAAAGGTGAGTGGTGAGGGTAACTTAAATCTATTCTTTACCTGCTGCTTCTCTACTCCAAATTGTGACCCTTTCTCTACCGCTTTTCTTCCACGGGATTCCAAATACAGAAGGAAATATGGTTTGGTGGAGTGATTTAGAGTAGAGAACGACTGGGCAATGCAGGGATGAAGCACCTCCTCCCCCTTGGAGCTTCTCCAGTCTAAATTCCCTTGTCTTGAACTTTTTGTTTCTAAAAACCTGTGTTAGGGCTCTACAACATAAATGTGGTGCAATGCGTCACTAGCCTCTGAAACTAGGGCCTAACCTAGGTAAAGGTAAAGGGACCCCTGACCATTAGGTCCAGTCGTGGCCGACTCTGGGGTTGCGGCGCTCATCTCGCTTTATTGGTCGAGGGAGCCGGCATACAGCTTCCGGGTCGTGTGGCCAGCATGACTAAGCTCTTCTGGCAAACCAGAGCAGTGCACCGAAACACCGTTTACCTTCCCGCCAGAGCGGTACCTATTTATCTACTTGCACTTTGACGTGCTTTCAAACTGCTAGGTTGGCAGGAGCAGGGACCAAGCAACAGGAGCTCACCCCCGTCACAGGGATTCAAACCGCCGACCTTGTGATTAGCAAGTCCTAGGGTCTGTGGTTTAATCCACAGCGCTACCAGCATCCCTAGGGCCTAACCTAGCAAGCTGCATTGGACTGCATGGGCTCAGAGCTCTGTTAAGGGACACAAAGGGTGTGCAACCCTGACCCCTTTCACTTGGCAAACAATACAAAGGCTCCTAACTGAAGCATCCCAGGATTATTTCAAATACAGGTTGGCTTTCTCCCTTTGTGTGGTCAATAGGCCTGTTTTACTCTAGCCTGAGCCTCAGAGACCCTAAGCTGGAGAACACATCCTCCAGGTCTAGGTTTAGTTAATGCTGCCCTTGGTCCCAGCTCTGTTCTGATACTCTTACATATGGAGGTAGACAACATGTTAGCCCCCATATGTTGTTGAACTGCAACTCCCATCAGACCCGGGCAGTATGGCCAAGGGTTATGGGAGTTGTAGTCCAGGAACATCAGGAAAGGCATGATGTTGGAAGCCCTTAGCACAGAACAGCCTGAAAGCATTTGCTGTTAATCACTCCCATTGATTCTATGGAGCATGAGCACTGTGTCATGCAATGGTGAGGTCCACAGTTCGGGGGTTTCATCATTGCTATAGGAAAGATATGCCCAGAACATTCACTTGTAATTATATTAAACCGAGTGACAAATGTGGTCCGTTTAATTTCGCAACAGAGGCCTACCTGTAGTAAGGCAATGAAGAGGAAGAAAGCATTAGCCGCTTTTCTGATCTGCTCATACAAGAATCGAGGTAGAAATGTCACCACGCTGTACTTGGCTGTGCTGTAAGTTTTCAGAAACAAAAAAGGAAATAAATGAAGACTTCGTTTAGAAGGACACAGGGGGAAACCCGCACCAAGTGAACTGACGTTAAATTAAACCAGCTTTGGGGGGGGGGGGAATCGAGTCAGTCCTTTCAAATCAATATGTGAACTTCAGCCTTTATAAATTGAGATGTCTAGCAAAGTAAAAAAATAATAAAAAACCCAATATGATTACTGTAACACACAGCCAACAAATTCGTTCAGTTAACTGCAGCGAGCATCGTATTCCATATATCAAAACTCTGCTGGTTTCCACAAATTCTGGAGTCCTGATTATCAGAACCAGCAAGGTTTTTTAATGTGATCCGAATGCTCTGAAAATCTATTCTTGATTTACAAGAAAACCTCAGTACCATGGACAGTTCTCTATGGGTTGCATGCCATTAAGTCCTACTCGGAGTAAACTCACTGAAATTAATCAGAATCATAGAATTGTAAAGTTGAAAACCACCCCAAGTGTCTTCAACCCCAGTCAAACCCCCTGCAATGCAGGAATCTCAGAAGCTGAAAGCTGAAAATGGACCCAAGTTCACCATGCCTTTTAATGATAATGGACCTCCTCTGAGTAGAATTGGCACTGGATCGAACTCTATGAGATTATTTTAGCTTCAGGTTATGCTGCTGAAAACAGCACATCTGTGTCAAGTTCTCCCCTTCCACCTCTTAATAAATTGTATTGACGTTGTATTGCCAGTAACTTGTTTTTAAAGGAGCAAATAGTTTATTCTCCAAAGACACCCATGGTATTGTCATGCTGCAGCATCATTGTGGGTGGGAATGCATGGGACACAGATTAAAGCACGGTAAGAGTAAAGAAGAGGAAGGAAAAGAATACACTGAGAAGACGGTGCCAATGGAATAAAATGGCATCGAAGCAATGCAAATACATTTGCAATGAATATTTGTTTATTTATCATTTAACACAGTCGCACACAGCTTAATAAGACGGTCTCCAAGCAGTTTAAAGAACAAACATGCACAACAACACTCCCCCTGATAACACATGCCTTGCAATTCATTCACACAAATCATCCAGTAACAACTACTTGTTCAATAGCACTCAAACCATTCTACTGCCACTAAACTTGTTAACAATTTTATATATCGCCTTCATCCATGCATGTTCCTGTACAACCAGGGTTCCAGGGTTCTCTGGAGCTGCATTCCACTCTGAGCGTGGCGGGCATCAGTCCCTCCTCTTAAGTGAAGAGGAACGCCTTGAAAGTGTGATAGCGCTAATCTGAGATTGCGCTCATTCCTCCTTATCTTCAGCCCTCCGTTTCCCTCCCAAACAGCACCAACGATTCTGCTGCATCATCTATAAATAACGAACAGGTGGGTTCGTTCTTCAGCTGACATATGGTATCTGAACCCTGGAAGACAGGGAGGCACTTAAATGTTGTTATTTAAGGCACAGATTCATTTGTTTCCCTGCTTCATACTTGACACCCTCAACATATGCCAATTTCGCCAGCCTCCTTCACCAATATAAGATCAGCTCTCCCACGGAAGCTTCCCATGTGTTGTGGCTATAATATTAATAATAATAATTTATTACTTATACCCCGCCCATCTGGCTGAGTTTCCCCAGCCACACATACTTGTGCGGATGTTGTTCAGAGCACAAGTACAATGATTCCCCAGAGTTTAAATGGAACTTTTCCTATGGCAGCACATAAAGAGGCAATGATATCTAGCACTCAATGATATCTAGCTAGCTGAATCAGGGCAATGCAGAAGTTCTGTTTACAAAACAATAGGGGAAACCTGTGAAAGAGAAATGCTGAGCGTTGGGGTGGCTAGTAATGAAGGCTGCTAATACTGTAGTCAGCTTTATCCCATTGCTCATAGCTTCCCTCTCTATAGGAGCTTCCAGTATCCAGCCTCAGATATCTCAGCACTTTATCAAGCTGATATCAGATCAAACAGATTAGTTTAATGGGATGCTTAAAAGTACTTATTTAAATTATTAATACCCCACTTTTTCTTCAAATACCTCAAGGCAGTTTACAAAAATAGTAAAAAACAACAACAACACACACACACACACACACACACACACACACACTACAAACAGCAATATATAAAAGGAATACAGTCGTACCTTGGTTGACTAACGCCTTAGCAGTCGAACGCTTTGGCTTCTGAACGCCGCAAACCCAGAAGTGAGTGTTCCAGTTTGCGAATGTTCTTTTGGAAGCTGAACGTCCGGCGGGGTTTCTGTGGCTTCTGATTGGCTGCAGGAAGCTCCTGCAGCCAATCGGAAGCCCTGCCTTGGAAGTCGAACGTTTTGGAAGTCGAATGGATTTCCGGAACAGATTCCGTTTGACTTCCAAAGTACGACTGTAAATAAGAATAAGAATAAAAGCCAGAAATAAAACAGTTTAAAACAGGTGAGGAAAACATGTTTGACCCTCCAGATGTTGTTGGACTACAATGCCCATCACCCTGACCATTCTTCATGCTCACTGGGGCTGATGGAAGTTGGAGTCCAACACTGGGAGGGATGCAAGCTCCCCCTCACTGAATTAAACACTAATTCCTGTATTTTACTAGCAATAGGTTTCATTTGCTCCATTTTCATAATCCATCCCTGGTTTAAAACCAATTGCAATAGGAAGTGTCTTTTTTAAAAAAGTAAAATAAAAAATAATTAATGGCTTCATTATTTAAAAGAATAGCAAAAAAGCAGCATTAAAAAAACTAGTTGTGCAATAAGAACTGCACATAGTTATGGCTGGCAAGGAATTAAAACCCAGTCTATACCAAGGGCCGTGTCAATCATAGTATTAAAATAGAAATGAAAAGCTGAATAGATCACTGTAGCAAGAAGGCTACAGCTTATAGATTGTGAGTAATGTTAGGCAACCATGAGAGAAAAACTGCAAGGAAATCAGAATGAAGAAATAAGAGTTGTGCTCAAAAAGTGGGGGGAATCTTAGATTACAGACAGAGGAACATCTAGTCCAGCATCCTGTTCTCACATTGGCCAACCAGATGCCTACAGGAATCCTGCACAGTACACCACTTTCCTCACTTGTAATTCCCAGCATCTGGTATATAGTTCCCTGGGAAGAGGGGAGTATTGTTAAACCACTCTGAAAATTGTAGCTGTGGGAGGGGAATAGGGGTCTCTTGTTGGCTCTTAGCACCCTTAGCAAACTACCTGAAATATACTTGGAGTCCTGTAGTGATTTCATGCTCTTTATTGCAACTTGTAAAACAGTGATTGAATTGCCCCCCCCCCCAAACCTCAGGCTTTTATATACATTATTTACACAATGAGTCCCGTCTGATTGGCTTACAGGAAAAGACCAATCAGGCTCCAGGAGGGAAGCAGAACCAGCCAATCAGCTGTTGTGTTCTAGGATCCTACTTGCCTATTGTTCTAGGATCCAAGCTTAGTACATAAAACTACCATTTCCAGGATTCATTAGGGGAAGCCATGACTGTTTCAAGTGGTACCATAGTGCTTTAAGCGCATGGTGTGAATGTGGTCCTAGAAGCATACGCATGTCAGCAGGGGCATCTGTGAGGTTAATGAGCACTGCCTTGCACACCCAACTTGGTACAGGGAAACTGGGGAAGGAGCCAGGTAAGTCAGGATGGGAGCTAGTTGCAGCCACTGGGCTTCCAGTTTGCCACCCCTAGTTTAAATAACAGGGCACCATCCAACTTCTCCAACTTCTGTTTATTGCCCATTCATCTGGAGTATTATGTCAACAGTAGCACATTTTGCTCCATCCTTTCTGTTCAACTGATGATTGTGGAGGGGTGGGGAGGGTGGATTATTAAAAATACTGGTGACATGTTTTAGCTGAGAGTCGTTTACAATATACGCTGCACCGCACAGAAGTGGCATAAGAATATATGAACAGAATTTCAAAGAATGCCAGCTAAGAGAACAGCCTTGGAAACATTTTGCTGCCTGACTCAACACATAATGTGTTTTCACAACTACTCAAACAATAAATCTGCCTCGTTTATATATCACAACCAGTACGTCAAGGCCGCTTCAGATTCAATATGGCAACTGCTGCTGCTCTGAATGGAGCTGTGTGGCAGCTATTACTGTACGTAAGGTGGGACGCATACATACAGGAACATAGGAATCGGCTTTACACGAGTCAGAACTACTGTTCTGGCTAACCAGATGTTGCTGGACTACAGCTCCCATCATCCCTGGCAACAGGCCATGCTTCTAACTCTACAGTTCTATGACTGGGGCTGATGGGAGTCCAACAACAGCTTGTGGGGCTGGGGACGAAGTACAATATGGAAGTGGCTGGGCTACTTCAGGTGTCAAGTTCTGGGTTGTGTGTGTGTGCGCGCCCTAATTTTGAATGCTCCAGGTGAAAGAGAAAACCCCTGCATTTAGTAAATTAGTACTTCAAAGAGGAAATTGGAGCAGCTGTCACTGGAGTCACTCATTTACTACATAAAGCAAGCCTTTTGGGGCAAGATGTAAGGTGTTTAGAAAAGTTCATTAAAGCTTTAATTTGTCTTAGTCTCATTTATTGCAAAATACGACAGGTGTCCACTATTTGAACTTTCCAGACGTGAGTTCTGACAAGCTTCCCCAGCATATCTGTCAACTTTTCCCTTTTCTTGCGAGTAATCCTATTCAGAATAAGGGAATTTCCCTTTAAAAAAGGGAAACGTTGACAGCTATGTCCCCCAGCTGGATAAATGGACCTTTATTGTGGGTGTCTACTTGTTTTAAGTGTCTTTGTTGCATTTGTGCTTTTAACTGTTTTTAATTATCTTATGTGTAAATTGCCTGGAAACGGTGGTTTAGAAGTGATTAATAAACTAGTGGTGGTAATAAAACGCATGCAGACCTGCTTTGCTGGCTGAGAAGGTCTGCCATGACAAAGCGTTGTCCTTGCCAATAATTTATGCCCTATTTTTTTTTAAAAAAAGAGAAGAGTAGCAAAAACATAAAGTTGATTTTTTAAT